CCCATCTGCTCTCTTATTTAACCACACTTTCTCCCACACTTCTCGTGCATCTGGCCGAGGTGGTGGAACGGGCATGTTAATTTCCAACAAATGGATATACAATCAGTTGCTACCCATCACTAAATACAACTCCTTTGAATACCATGCCATCCAGGTAACTGTACCGAAAAAATTCTTTTTGGTTGTCATTTATCTCCAACCAGGGCAACTCTGAGACTTTCTTGATGAACTCGACACCCTGCTCTCCTCCATTCCTGAGCACGACTGTCCCACAATGGTCCTTGGAGACATGAATATTCACCTGGACAATCCCAGCTCATCAGGCTTCCTGTCACTAATGTCATCATTTGATCTAAAACTAGTACAAAGTCCTCCAACACACAAAGCTGGAAAAGAACTTGACCTCATTTTCACCAGAAACTGTGCCATAGACACGATCTCTGTCACACCGCTGCATCTTTCCGATCATTACTTCATCCATTTCAGCTCAACTCTACAAGGGAGGTCCACTGCTTCCTCCTCAATGGTCTCATTCCGCCGCAACCTCCGCAATCTGGTACCCAACCACTTCTCCTCTCTTGTTGCCTTCACTCTTCCATCTCCCAGCACATTCTCTGCTTATGAAGTGAATGATGCCACCGAGTCACTCTGCTCCGCACTCTGCTCTTGTCGTAACAACTTGTGCCCTTTAGCCACTAGACCTGCTAGATCCTCTCAGTCGCACCCTTGGCTAAATGATACCCTCTGGTCTCTACGCGCCAATCTTAGAGCCGCGGAACGGAAATGGCGCAAAACAAAAGATACTGGTGATCAATTGAAATTTCATGAATTACTGTCCTCATTCTCTGCCAGCATCTCTGATGCAAAGAAAGCTTTCTACACTGACAAAATTCTCAGCTCTGCTGACTCTCAGAAACTATTTTCGACATTCAAAACTCTGCTCAACCCTCTGTCTCCACCTCCTACCAACAATCTATCAGATGACACCTTTGCCTCATTCTTCACTGACAAAGTGGCAGCTATAAGCAAACAGTTTTCTCAACTGGCCACTCCTGAACATTTGCTACAACTAACTCTTTCTAGCCCAACCATCTCAAGCCCTACTGCTTCATTTTCCTCTTTTTCTCCTCTCACTGAGAACTGTGTGTCCAAGCTTCTCACGTGCAGCTGCCCTACTACATGCCCACTCGACCCCATTCCGACTAAGCTGCTCCAAGCTATTGCTCCTACAGTAGCCGCAGCAGTCACACATGTGATCAACGCTTCATTGACATCTGGTACATTTCCCACCTCTCTCAAGCATGCTCAGGTTAAACTGCTGATAATAAAAACATCTCTTCCTCTAAATCATGTGGAGAACTACTGACCTATCTCTCTCCTCCCTTTTCTGTCCAAAATCATTGAAAGGGTGGCTTTCAAGCTGATCACAGAATACCTCTCACAAAACTGTCTGCTTGACCCTTACCAATCTGGGTTCAAAAAGGGCCACTCCACTGAAACTGCTCTGTTAGCAGTGACTGAATCCTTAAAAGAAGCTAGAGCGACTGCCAAATCCTCAGTGCTTATCCTCCTCGACTTATCGGCTGCATTTGACACTGTCAACCATGGCTTCCTCTTGTCCACACTCTCTAGCATGGGCATCACAGAGAAAACACACGCCTGGTTTGAATCGTACCTCAGTGTATCATCTACCATGCATCATCTTGCCACAGGAGCCCCCAGAGCTCTGTACTAGGACCTCTTCTCTTTGCCATATACACCACCTCACTGGGTGAGATCATTCAATCACATGGCTTCTCCTACCACTGCTGTGCAGACGACACCCAGCTCTATCTGTCATTTCCACCGGACGACCACACTGTCGATGCACGAATATCAAACTGCCTCTCTGACATATCAAAATGGATGAAATACCACCATCTCCAACTCATCCTCTCTAAAACTGAACTACTTGTCATCCCAGCAAAGCCATCCTTACAGCACAATATCTCAATCCAAAATGACTTCCTATCTCTGGCTCCTTCAAAGGCAGTTTGAAATATGGGTGTTGTGATTGATGAACACCTGACCTTTAAAGATCATGTTTCCTCTGTTGCTCGTTCATGCCGCTTTGCGCTGCATAACATATGAAAGATCAGACCATACCTAACACAACATGCCACCCAGCTCCTGGTGCAATCTACTGTTATCTCCCGCCTCGATTACTGCAATGCCCTTCTAACTGGTCTTCCAGCCTGTACTGTGAGACCTCTTCAAATGGTCCAGAATGCAGCAGCGCGTCTGGTCTTCAATCAGCCAAAAAGAGCACACGTCACCCCTCTGTTCATTGAGCTCCACTGGCTACCGCTAGCTGCACGCATCAAATTCAAATTGCTAACACTAGCATACAAAGTCCGAGATGGTACGGCTCCCATCTACCTGAATCCTCTTGCAAAGGCTTATGTCTCGGCCCGGCTGCTCCGGTCATCACAGGATCGTCGGCTAGCAGTGCCTACACCACGCTCAGGACAATCCAGACTCTTCTCATGTATCGTTCCACAAATGTGGAATGACCTACCAAGCACTACCAGAACAGGGGCTTCCTTTTCGATTTTCAAGAAACTCCTGAAGACCCTGCTCTTCAGAGAGCATCTTCTAAACTAGCACCCTCCCTGCACCTGTACCCCTCTCCACTATCCACTCCTTGTTCCCTCCTCTCCATGATTCATCATGCTGCCTCACTGCCACCTACAACTGACTGGAAATTGTTTGTTGTTGTTGTTGTTAGCCTCAAGGGCAACATGCCGATTATCACTTGTACGTTGCTTTGGACAATAGCGTCTGCTAAATACATAAACATAAACATAAAAGCCTTTTTAAAAAACAATGCCACCAATTTGCTGCAACACAGAGCCAGCATCTGGGAGCTTTAGGTTGTTTATAAAAAGTCAAACTGTGGCAGTAATGTGGCACAATCACATCCTTTTTCAAAAGATGACGTGATGGCGGTATAAATGCAGTATGGGGGTGATGTCTGCACTGCCATGAACTTCCATTTAAACTGGACATAACTTGTTTGATCGAAGTCGCGCTCGTGGTTTTTTTGACAAGCCGCTCCTGAAGGTGTCTGTCCCCCACAGTCCTCGTGCAGTCTCTGGTAATCTGGCCTTCAGCTCAAACAGAGAGACGCTCCTGGAGCTCTGCTCTACTCCAGTTTATCATCCCAGCTGATTTTGTTTAAAAAGTGAAACTTATGTCCGTGTTTACTTTCATTTTCAATATAGTACATTAAGTTCCCACGTAATCATGACACCACCCTCTGTTGGGCCAAGGTGTAATATGTATTCACAAGTCTGGTGTTGTGGCAATACTACTACCAAGCGTGGTGACACGAATGTTGCAAAATTTCTGCAACACCATGCCACCACAGCACATTCATAAAACAAACCGCAATGGCAGTTTTTCTCCCCTGGCCTCTACAACGAAAAAAAAAAAATGTTTGCAAGTCTGGAACATTGACCAGTAGATTTTGCATATCCACAAGAGGAAGCTGACAATAAATATGGCCCAGTTTCCAGCATGCACTGCAGGGTGATGCAGATGCTCCTTAAGCCTGATTTGCTGGCATAGTTTGTCTTCTAAAAAGGGCTTAACTTTGTTCACCATCATGTTTTAGGGGAAGGAGACAGAAAGCTATCTTAGAGTCAATAAGACAACAACCCTAAACGCTGCTCAACATCTCCTAAGGCATCCATGCAAAGGAACAAGTAGAACGTTCTGGAATGGCCATTTCAGTCCCCCCGACCTGAATATTACTGAAAATCTGTGGTGTGAGTTAAAGAGAGCTGCCATGTAGAAACAGTAAGCGTCCTGCTTGGCTCAGGAAGCCGCAAGGCGTCAACAATATTTCCATACAAACAGTCAAGAGACCTGGGTGTTGTTGAAAATGAATTAAATGATGCCCGGTTGTTGAAAATGGCAGCTTCATAACATGTAACTATAAAAATCAGGTCTGAAATACATGGGAGTGGGTCTAAGTCTCTGGGCAACGCCATATTAGAAGCCATGTCTCTTCTACGGGGGCCCATGAGGACAAAATGCATTTACTGATTTGTAACAAATGGTTATAAAACTTTAGTCATTCATGTTTTACACATTTACCTCTTAACTTGTTGCCAGTGATGAAAGGGAGTTTGATGTGCTTGTTATTTTGCTAAAATTTGCACTTCCCAGGGCTTTTTGACCCTAATGCCCAACCATTGCTAAGGTCTTACTCCAACACAAAAATACTACTTGCTTGCAACGATTTAGGCATCTACTGCCCCCATCACCAAGAAAAATACACACAGTCACTTTAAGTAGTGGAATGAGATTACATTGAACTCCATAAGCACGCAGCATCTGTGCCCACCTAAGACTCACCTGAAACCCATCTTTAGACCATTGCCTTTCCTGACAGCTAGTTATTCTTAGGGTTTTAGTGGTTTGTATTCTGGTCCAGGTTCTCACTCATCCAGGTTATGGTCATTTGAATCCTTTAGGGTTTTAGTGCTTGTGTTTCTATTTTTCTTACACAACTGTATTTGTTGTTTTGTGATTTTTTAACATAATTTGGATTGTTATACATGTATGCTGTAGTGCTTTGGAAACTGCTTGGTCTCTGAAAGCACTTTGATAAATACATGTGATGATGATGAATTCAGCTGTAACTAGTAAGAATGCCAAAACTGTTGCGGGTGTTGCAGGGTGGTTACATTCTAAGCTAGGCTTGCCTTAGAGAAGGCTCTTGTGCACAAACCCTCCATTTAGAAAAGAATTTTTATTATGTAGGATAACAAACTGGCTTTAGAATAGAATAATATTAAATAAGTCACCCAGATGTGCAGGTCAGCTAGATAAGACATGGCTGTCAGAGCAAATACAGATTTGTAACTTCTTGTACCATCCGTCACCTTCTAGTGCTGTAGCTGACAAGTCTTCAACAAAATGCACAAGACAAAATAAAAGATTGGCACACAGAATCATTTTTCTTTACTCTTTTTACTTTAAATTGTCCAAATTATAAAACAATAACATGATCTCTACTTCATCTACAAAAAAAACTGAATAATTGACTGTAATAAGCATCATTGATTTTTTTAACTCTAACAACTTTTTTAGACATGCATACTGTTGAGAAATATAAAAATATAAATATAAATACATCCCATTAATATTCTTAATGAATTCATGACTAAGATTTGAAATATTTTGTCATAAAAGAATTAAAATGCAGTTGAGTACGATAAGGCATTAAGATGTATCACAAGAGCTGTACAAATTCTTAGAGGTATCATTACTATTTTTTGTTTTCGTGTGATGAACAGAACTTAAAATTAAACTGTGACGAGTCACTTGTTTCTCAACAGGAAGAACACATTTTTGAAGGAAAAAAAACTACAAAGTTGAACAAAAATGAACACGAAATTGAAAACCGCGCTCGAAAACAAAACCAGGTTTTGTTAACAGCCGACTCTTTTCATCCATCACTGACTTTAAAAGCCCCGTCCACACCACACTTCACTCACAACGGACCATTTGCCTCACCACTGCTGCAGAACGACATGAAACAGGTGCTATACGAATAATTAAACCACTAAATCTAATGCATGTTTCACCCATAGGACTCAAAAGAAAAACAAAAGAACTATGGCAATGACACAATCAAATGAATGGCAAACTATGTCAAATGATTGAGTAAAATCATTATTTATTTTTATATTATCGTTTACAGCTAACTAACCTAGAGGAACCGCCATTGTTTTATTTAGTTGGGACAGTTCCCTAACAATAAGCATGACCGAGCTAGCTTGTTTTCATGCAAAATGTAGCTCTCAGGTGTGAGGAGAGTTGCCATCTCAGAAGATGAAGTGCTGATTAGCAGGCGCGTTTCTTTTTTCTTTATGTTCTATTTAAGAGGCCGGACCCAGAGAGGAAGACTCAGAGCAGAACAATCCACGAAAACTCAAATCTCACCCAGTCCAACAACAACCGCTTAAGGTGCTTGGAGCTCCTGAACACAACTCTTGTTATTTTATTTTTTTCAGTACCTTTAGGAAGTGAACATCCCACAATCCCACACAACATTACGGTCTCCTGTCCTGATCCGTTAACATCCCACTCCGTGGTGAACTAGCATTAAATCAAATCTCCATCTTGTGAATAAAAATGAAAAAACATGCAAGGGGAGCCCAAACTTCCCTTCTATTGTTTTTTTTTTTTTATCTGACAGCTATCTTCCTGCAACTTCTCAACAAACCATTTGGATTCTTTTTAATTCTGAGTTGCAAAAATGGAGGTAAGATCAGAGCTGGTGAGAGACATACAGTACTTGGTGCGCTTGCAGAGAGCAGCTGACGCCACTAAAGGTCTAGAGGGGAAGATCGGACTTAGGAAGTAGGAGGGAGAGCGAGGAAGAGGGCAGAGACAGGAGAGTGAAACTGTAGATGCTCAGAAAACGGCTCCCTCAGGAACATCTGGACAACATGTCCACGTTTGTCACATTTTCACTTCCTGTTTTGAGCTCTCAGGTGAAACTGGATTTAGTTCCTCCCCTAACCTCATGGATAAGCGACACAGCTGAAACCAGACCGGCATCTACGAGTAACCACCCACACACACACACCTTCCCTGACCTCACCCTCTGCATGGCGTTAGCTCTCTGCTGCTAACTGTGAGACTGTGGCGCTGCAATGCTAGAGCAGTCTGTGACCAGCAGGTCCACCACCGTGTTCCCAGTGACGTAAACGGTGGGGGCCGTCACCGTGTTGCTGAGGGAGACGGAGCTGCTGGGAGCCACGCTGAAGGTGACGGGGCTTGGGGAGCCCTGGCCGGTGCTGTGGGTGCCCATGTGGCCCTGGAGCTGGGTGGGCGTCTTGCAGTGGACGCCGCACAAGTGACAGACAAGAATCCCGCCAGAGGTTGTGCCCCCGAAGCCCCCCGGGCTCTCCTTCCACTCCTGGCCATGGTGCTTCTGGGCGTGGACACGAAGGTACGTCAGCGTGGTGAAGCCTGATGAGGGACAAGAGTCGTTTAGGACACAAATCTAAAAGCATCAAGAGTTAAATTCCTGAACAGACGTGTGTGAGAGGAAAAGACATGCACTCACTGCGATTACAGAGGTGACAGACGTGGTGCTGAGACTGGTTGTGCACCCTCATATGATCTGTGATGTAAGCAGCTGACAGCAGCTTCCCACAGATGTGACACGGCACTTTTTCCTCATGACGAATCATGTGCGCGCGCAGGCGATCCTTCGTGGCGAAGCAGGATTCACAAGTCTGGAAAACCACACAGATGTAAGGCGTTGGACATCGACACGTCTCTGATTGAGTTTTTTTCTGCGATACCATCAGGTATCAGTAAAGTTGGTGCCTTATTTAACAAAACAAACAGAAACGATGTTGGTGTGACATACAGGGCATTTGAAGGGTCGTTCTGAGGAGTGCACCTGTCTGACGTGACTGTTGAGATGATCCGGCCTTAGGAAAGAGACGGGACAACGTTAGGACAGGACGATGAGCCGATGACGTGGCCATGCTGCATGGCTGCTCGCTCACCTGGAGAAAGCTTTGCTGCAGTGCGGGCAGATGTAGGGTTTCTCCACACCGCCCTGATGAGAGCGCACATGGTGGCTCATGCGGTCCTTCCTCTTGAAGCGCTGCTGGCAGATGGGGCAGGAGAACGGCTTTTCGTCCGAGTGGGACAAGCGGTGGCGGTTAAGGTGGTACACGTCTCGGAAGGCCTTCCCGCACGTCTCGCAGGCGTGGTTCTTCTTCACAGGGTTAGGGTTGGGGTTGGCGGGCCGCTGAGGCAAAAACAAAACAGGCTTCAGAGTTTAGATATGAGGGCTTCTCTTCCAAAGCTCAAGTTCAAGCTGAGACTACTCTAATATTTGTGTTTAATCAGAACCATGCAAATATTCAGCTAATCAGCCGATCAGACACTTGATGTAAGGTGAACTATCTCCTGCTACACTTTCAGCTTTTACTGGGTTACAGAGAACATGCAGGGGAGCGTGGGGGGGGGGGCTTCGAGCACACAGTTTCTTAAACTGGGAACCAGTACCAAAGACTGGTCCCTGGTCCCTGAACAGATTACGTTCCTTAGATGTCTCGTGAAACAAGTTATCCTTTTGGAAGCAGTTTAAGAAACGACATGCCTGAAGGTTTGGGGCCGACGTCTCTCACAAGGCCCTGACCCACCTGTACTGTCGCCCCTGTGGCCATGACGACAGCAGCAGGAGGCGGAGCATGGGGGTTAACACCAGCCATTACATTTGGCATAGCAACCCCATCACCATCCTGACCACACAGGGGGGGCTGCTGAGCGCCCGCCAGCACACCAGGAGGGGCGAGGGGGGGAGGCACGGAGAGGTGCAGCAGGGAGAGGGGAACAGTGGGCCTCTCCACCTCCCCTCCGACCCCCACCACCATCGCCGGCGGGGCCACCGCCACCACCATCTGGCCAGCTGCTCCCTCCTTCGCCCCCTCCGCCTGCACCCTGGCCCTGTCCTTCATGCGTACCCCAGTGTGGACCGACTGGTGCCGCCGCAGGTTGTAGTTGTTCTTGAACTGCTTGTTGCAGATGGCACAGATGTATTGGGTGCGGGCCGGACGAGGCGCTGGCTTCACTGGATCCCAAAGGAGCCGGGAGAAAACACACACAGAAAGTTCATCATTTCAAAGACTCCCAATATTTAATTCCAAATTTCAAATGTGTCAAGAGTAATGCAGACACCCAAGCACCTGGTGCAGGGATGTAGCGGCTGCAGCGCTTCTGCAGACTGAAGGAAAATCACAGAATGAGACTCAATAAAAGGCAGGCAGCACAAAAAACCCTGGAATTAGGAATCAGATGCACCAATTCAGGTTTTGAGTGCCAATACCGATTTCAGAATACTGTACAACTCTGACCCGCGAATACGATGCCAATTCAGATTTTTCTCAAGTAACTATAATTAACAAAACAGTATTTTTTTCCTACAAAGGTCTGATCAAGGATAATCTGTTGTTACTGACAAGAATTAGGCTTTGTAACCATTGCAGGTCTTAAAGGAATACTATACAACTTTTATCATTATCATTTTTATTATTAATATTAATAATATGGGTAATAATATCAAATTAAACTTATAACGCACTTTCGATTTCAGGAATCTCCAAGTGCTACAGAACGCACAGTAAAAATAGCGGTTATAAAATACATTTAGCTAAAGGCTTTTCTAAAAAGGTAGGTTCTTAGGTCCTGTTTAAAGGCATTGATAGGCGCTCTTGCAACTTCAGAGTGGCTGTAAAAAAATGGAGCCGACATGCCAGCGCTGCGGTCTGCTTCCAGCCCATTTCTTGCATGTTTTGGATCATGAACAAAGCTGATGAATCACTCCTGTAGACACTAATGAAGGCCGGGAGACATTTCAGCTGTTAGACGAAGGTGTGAAAAAGACCAACGCACAGTGAGGAGATATGTTTCATTTTTGGTTTAACCACTGATAATTAATAACGGACACTAGGGGGCACTGAAAGCAAGCGAAAGTGAAAAGTGTGCCTTTAATGCTCATTTCCAATTTACTTGCTGAGATTAGACTTTTTGGGATGTTGTTCACACAAAAATTTTAATGCTTCAACAGATTCCAGTGTAAGCAGTCTGAGAACCTCAAGACAGCCAGATGTGCAGAAGGAGGCATGAAATAGGTTGCTGCATAACGTTACACATCAGCGTGAGTGAATCAATTCTAATATTGTTGTTCAATCAGATCCGATAAAATACGACCATGTGACCAACGGTAAGCTTGTTTCGTCCATCCATGTTCCACTTCCTGCCTCTACTGCTGTAGATTTATGAAGCCTGTGGTACGTAAAGAGCGCCAACTTGAACTACATTTATAACAACTGTGTTTAGCTTCTGTAACAATTATATATGATTTTTCTGATTTCATTTGATTTCTGGTGATCATCTCAAGACTCCAACTTGGTGCTTTGTGGCCCACATTGGAGCCACAACCCCAACTTTGGGAACCACTGCTTCAAATCATACATCAGGGTTTACCCCAGCGCTTTATAAGCCTGGCGGCCTGCCAGGCCAAGCGTCATGCCCCGCCCCCCTCCCCGACCCTACCGTGTCCGCTGACACGAACGGCACAACGAAACTAGAGCCCTCCATCAGCTGATACTGGTGAGAAAAAGCAGCGGAACGTGTGCAACCCCCCCACCCCCACGGAGGAGCGCTGCGGGACGGAGCAGATTTTGTATAGAATGAAAATGATTAAAGCTGAATTTGCGCTATTATGTTCACACACCACACACATTTACAGTTGAGATGATTTCATTCACTGTTCACATGACTAAACAATTACACATCACCCCCCTCACTCTCTGACACAGGCAAACAAATGGAGACAAGATAGAAAAATATCAGTTGTTAAAATCAGCCCGATTTTATTTATCGAACCGATACCGATATGTTAAAAAATGACTAAAATCGGCCGATACCGATATTGATAGTCGGTATACTGTCCATTCCTAATAAACACATTAGTAAATACACTATCAGAGACCGGATACATGAGTGTTATGGTAGCAGGATACCACTGAACAGCACTACGCCCCCTGTTGTCCTGGTGGGGAATTGCTTTGCAACACTCCGCTGCCTGAACAGAAGTTCGAATGTGAAAACCTTTCCGACACTCTGTGTGTGTCTCTCCGTTCCAGAGCTCTCAGAAAAATATAACTCAGGCTTAAGTCGTTCTCTGGGGAAAAAAAGCACTGCGAATGTAACCATAGGACAGTAGCTTTAGACAGCAGGATCTGGAGGCTTATTTCCTGATATTTGAACATCTCACCTCTGCTTGGCTAACAGCAATGTTGATGTTTTATCTTCACAAATAAAACAAGGTGGGTGGAGTTCTGCTGTGTGGTGGAGTTGCTAATGCTAACAGTTAGCTTCTACTAGCCGAGACATTCTCTACTGCTTTCTCCATTGTGAGTCAAGATGGAGGAGTCCATGAATGTTAAGTGACAGTGTGACGTAGCCCTGTCGGTCTTTTCAAATCCTAGAGTCTATTTTCTATAGGGAGCCTAAGTCACGCCCATCTACTTCTGGACCATGGGTCCCCGGAAGGACGAAAAAATGAATGCAAGTGAATGGGGCTGTAAATGCTATTTTCTAATCCTGTTTGTTGATTTCACATATGATGTCTGGGAATTTTAAACACACATTCTGATACCAAGAAAGCACTCATTTTTAAACAGGGCAGAAGTTACTTTAGGTGTTGTGTGAAAAGTTACCTTGTTACCTGTAACTCTCTCCTTCAGTTTTTTAATGAGAAGGTCAATAGAATCCATCTCTCTTTACCTCATTCCTCCCCTCCCTCTCCTGATTTATTTGAACCCACCATTCCGTTCTCCTCCTTTGAACTTCCCCATCCCTCAGAAATATTAGATTACATCACCAAATCCAAACCTTCCACCTGTCAACTGGACCCTATTCCAACTGTTTTAGTTAAATCCTGCCTTTCTTCTCTGCTCCCTTTTATAACAGCCATTATTCATTCCTCACTATCCTCTGGTACGGTCCCATCCCTATTCAAATCCGCTTCAGTCAGCCCTATTCTAAAAAAACCTGGTTTAGATCCCAATGATTTCAATAACCTCCGTCCCATTTCCCATCTTCCCTTCATTTCCAAAGTCCTTGAGAAAACTGTTGCATCTCAGCTCCATTCACATCTCACCCGCAATAACCTTTATGAACAGTTTCAGTCTGGCTTCCGTCCCCACCACAGCACAGAAACAGCTCTCATCAAGATCACTAACGACCTACTCATTGCTGCTGATTCTGGTTTAATCTCTATTCTTATTCTCCTCGATCTGAGTGCGGCCTTTGACACCATTTCTCATCCCATCCTCCTTAATAGACTCTATTCCTTAGGCATCACTCACACCCCCCTCCGCTGGTTTCAATCTTACCTTACTGGCCGCACTCAGTTCATCCAGTTAAAATCCTTTACCTCAGAACCCTCCCCAGTCAAGTCAGGTGTGCCCCAGGGCTCTGTCCTGGGGCCCCTCCTCTTCATAGTATATCTCCTCCCTATCGGCAAAATCTTCCGCAAATTCAATATCCAGTTTCACTGCTTTGCAGATGACACCCAGCTCTACATTTCCAGTAAGCCCAACTCAACTCTCCCACCATCCTCCCTTACACTCTGCCTCTCTGAAATCAAATCATGGTTCACCTCTAATTTCCTCAAACTCAACGGCAATAAAACTGAACTTCTTCTAGTTGGCACTAACTCCACCCTCTCAACATCTGACAGCTTTTCTTTAACTATTGACAGTGCCACAGTCTCCCCCTCACCTCATGTCAAGAGTCTGGGTGTCATTCTCGACAGCTCCCTTTCTTTTCAGGCTCACATTAATAACTTAATTCGGTCAGCATACTTCCATCTACGTTCCATAAACCGTCTTCGTCCCTCACTGACCCCTCACACTGCCGCCATTCTCGTCCACAGCCTCGTCACCTCCCGTCTCGACTATTGCAATTCACTTCTTTATGGTCTCCCCAACAAACTCCTTCATAAACTGCAACTGGTCCAGAATTCAGCAGCCCGTATTATCACCAGAACCCCTTCCTTTCACCACATCACGCCGGTTCTCCAGCAGCTCCACTGGCTCCCAGTTAAATTCAGGCCCATCTTCAAAATTCTCCTCCATACCTTCAAAGCAATCCACAACCTCTCTCCTCCATATATCTCAGACCTTATAAGTATTCACACCCCGTCCCGTTCACTCAGATCTTCTTCTTCCATCCATCTTGCGGTTCCTTCTGCCCGTCTCGCTACCATGGGGAGCAGAGCTTTCAGCCGCTCTGCTCCTCGACTCTGGAACTCACTTCCCCCAGACATCAGGAACATCGACAGTTTTACCCTTTTCCAATCAAAACTCAAAACACATATGTTTAAATCTGCCTACAACCTCTGATTTTATTGAAATGTTTCTCTCTGTTTTTTCTTCTTTGGGTTTTATTATTGTTTTATTGTATTTTATTACGTGTTTTGTGTAAAGTGACCTTGGGTGTCCTGAAAGGCGCTTTGAAATAAAATGTATTATTATTATTATTAAAAGTTGTCCAGGACTACAAATGCATCTCACCCGATGGTCTCACCATATTAACGTCATCGAACCAGACATGGAGACAAACAGGCAAAATGGCCTTCCCTCGGGAGGAAAGAACCACCATAAATATGGTCATGTGGTAAGTAGCAGCTACGCTAGAGGAGAGGAGAGATTATGTGGTGATGTCATATATGCAGCGTAGTGACGTCTGACTTGTTACAATTACAAACTTTTACAATCTGATAAATCTCAAAGTACGTGACTGGCGCGGTCGAAACACGTGACTTTTTAATTAAATTGAAGTACAACATATTTGTGATTCTGGGCGTAAGGCAAAGCAGATTAGAAAATAGCTCTTTTAGCCCCGTTGACCCATGAGCCAACTGGAAGGGAGGAGACTTAGGCTCCATATCAGAAGCTAATGCAGGAGATAGGCATAGAAGACTATTTTCATGTTCAGCTTGCATGAAAAACACTGAGTGGCCAATTATAATCACTAACAAATGTTTTTATTTAGTAAAGTTGATCTTTAATGAAACTCAAATTATTAGAGAAGCTTCATCGATGGCTGGTTAACTTCTTTTAGAGTTATTCTGATCCAATATGGCTGCCACAGTGAACTGACCTTAGCTAACCAATGATGACTACAGACCCCTTGAATTTTATTGTTGTTTACATCCAGATGATAGTGCACATGCACACAATGTTGGAGGGCAAAAAGAGCCTCTGCAGCCACCATCTAGAGCTATATCTCCAAGATTTAAACTAACAAAATAAAACCTAGAGCAGTATATATTACTATTTTAGATCATCTAACGCATCTTTGTGCATATGATCAAAAAAGTTACATCTTGTGATGTCACGCGTCAAGAGGTCAGTGACAGTCACCTTTACAGGTAATTAGCTAAATTTAAATGTTAGTAGCTGCATGTCATTCACACACGCATGCTAAATGATGACTCTGATCTGTGCAGCAAAGGTGTTCTGAACCTTCTGTTCATGCGACGGCAAAACTAAACGAATCCTGCAAACGATGGCGTCCACATTAAAACAGTCATAGGATTGCTACGCATGTTTACATTGAGCCTTCTGCCATCTCTTGGGTCCACTGATGTTTTAACCCTACCACTGACTAGATCAGCTGATGGGTGGCTGTGTTGAGCTCCTCAGGTGCAGAGGAGAAAGGAGTTCCTCACCAGGAAGGGGATCCTCACTGAGAGCAGTGGTGTCCACCGTGGAAGGAGGCTGTGCTGAGTGCTCTGTGGGTGGGGTCTGGGGAGAACTCGTATGCACTTGCATGAGCTCTGATTGGAGGCTCCCCTCCACTTGGTTTTGGGTGGGAGTACTCTGGAGAAGCAAGGAGAAAGGCCATCACCAAACGTAAACACAAGTCACACCATTATCTCCCACAGATGCAACGTAGACACATTGGATCTGCCCGGAAAGGCCCGTAAAGGGAGGGACAACAGTGCTAGATTATAACCCAGATTAGGACAAACAAAGGTCCGTAGAGCCTACCTGGAAGAGAAAATTGCTCCAAGCAGCATCCATTTTGCGCCACAGAGATGGGAGATTATGCAGTCAGCTCCTGGTTGAGATCGTGGAGAGCAGCCTTTGCATGGTTTGGGTCGGAACCACGGAAGATGGAGGCGCCAGCGGCCGCCTGTCCCGCAGCAGAACCGACGGGCTCTCAGTTTTTCGTAAAAAGCGTGAAGCAGCTGCGGGGATCTGTCTTTGTCATTTAGCTAGCGCTAACCGTAGAGTGCCGGTGGAGCAGGCCGAGGCAGCCCTAACTTTAACTCATCTAACACCAAACCTGTCTAAACACGAACCTGAACACAACACATCTGCTCTAGCACTCCCGCTCCTGCCAGTCTCTCTGGAGCTAGCCACAGTAAAAATAGCCTCCGGGAAATAAAGGCATTCTTTTGGACGCAAACACAACAAATATGAGTTATAAACACACGTATCTGACAGCACACCAGGTCATGCTTTGTTTTTCTTTTCTTATTTTAAATTTAGGGATCTATTTTCCCTGATTTTTTCCCCTCCTCGATAGGCCAAGCGGGTGTTTAGTCGAAGCCTCGCTGCTGGATTCAAGCCCTGACCCCGGCGAGCAGCGCTCTCGCCGGGCCGCAGCCTCTCGCTCCACCTCGGCCGTTCAGCTGCGAGGATGTCATCTTTCTTTTTTTATCGCCCGCTCTCCCTCCTCCCTCCCTGTCTCTTTCTTCCTTTTCTTTTTTAATTCCTCTTTCTTCTCCCCCCCTCTCCTTTTTCTCGCACCGCTATGTCCCACTTGCTCTTAAAGGGATAGTTTCCTCTGTGGACACCCCCCCCCCCCCCCCCTCTCTCTCTCTCTCTCTCTCTCTCTCTCTCTCTCTCTCTCTCTCTCTCTCTCTCTCTCTCTCTCTCTCTCTCTCTCTCTCTCTCTCTCGCAGCTTGTCTCCCCCTCCCCCATCCTGTCTTTGCCGACAGAAAATGACTTCAAACGTATTTGTCTCGTCTCCAGAACACCGGACCTGGCAAAAACCGGAGGAATGACGGACTCGTCTTAAAGGGGCGCATTCTACAAATCCTCAGTTAGCCGATAATAATGATGTCAGCGTCAGGCCGAAAAAAACAGAGCTTTCCACAGCTCTGGAAAAAACAAGAATTGACGTCAGCAGCAGGCATGGCACCAGCACGGGCCTCGTTGATCGATATTAATCAATATTGATTTATATTAATGTTGATGGTTGATCGTGATCATTTTAGCCCTTATAATACTTTTCTGGTTTACATGTAGCAATAAACAAAAGCATAAATTACACCACGTGGCGAAAAAATATTTAATGTAACAACAAAACAGAATAGAACATTGTATCGCCCTTTTACGCTGTTTCATTGTGTTTAATTTCATTGCGTGTTGTGGCCATTTTAGTTGGGATTAGTTAAGAGTTTTCCAATCCAATCCAATTTTATTTATAAAGCGCATTCACAAGGCATTACAACCAAACAAGGCGCTGTACACTAAAAATGTTGGTTAATTAAACAGGCGTTATATAAACATGTCGAACACAGATAAAAGATCAAAAGGAAATACAACAAAATTCCCAAAAATAACAGCTAAAAATCAATAAGACACAGGGTGAAATAAAAATAGGAAAAAACATTTTACAAAGAACCTCAATAATACGGAAGTCGATAATTGTGGAGTCCATTTATAAACAGTGCAGATGTCAGTGAGGTTCATAATTATGTTGTATAAGCTAGGTTGAAGTAGTGAGTTTTCAGGCGTGATTTAAAAATGCTAGCTGTTGGTGCTAGCCTCACTAGCAGTGGTACTGCGTTCCACAGCTTCGGTGCACAGACAGAGAAAGCCCTCTCTCCACGGCTTTTTAAACGTGCATTGGGAACAGCTAGGAGGAGCTTATCTTCAGATCTGAGAGCACGCGTCGGGTTGTAGTAATGGACAAGTTCACACAGATATGGAGGAGCTTGATGGTTCAAGGATTTGTAAGTGAGAAGCATAATTTTGAAGTTTATCCTGAACTGCACGGGCAACCAGTGGAGAGATTTCAGAATTGGAGAAATGTGTTGTCTTCTATCAGCACCAGTCAGCAACCTAGCTGCTGAGTTCTGGACCAGCTGAAGTCTAGAAAGAGCTGCTTTAGTGATGCCGTATAAGCAGGAGTTAGAGTAATCCAGCCTTGAGGTGATAAAAGTGTGGACCACCGATTTCAGAAGACGGACACTCAGGATGTGCTTTAGTTTTGAGATGCGTCTTAGTTGGTAAAAACATGATTTAACTGTGTTATTGACCTGGGCATCCATCTTCAGAGCCTGGTCCATTTTTACTCCAAGGTTGGAGATTACAGAGGATACATTAGGTGAGAGATAGTTGAGGTCAGGTTGTTGAGTTGCCGTGATACTGTTAGGACTGAAAACGATTAAGTCAGTTTTGGAGTCATTGAGATGGAGGAAGTTGTCAGCTAGCCATTGCTTGACCTCAAGGATACAATCAGACAGAACTTTCGTTGATTGAGTTGGCTTAAATGAAAAGTAGATTTGACAGTCGTCAGCGTAAAGATGGTATGAGACAGCATGCTTTCTGAAAATGGCTCCTAAGGGCAGTATATAGAGGTTGAACAGTAACGGGCCGAGAATTGAACCTTGTGGGACACCCCAACGTAGAGGCTGTGACTCTGATGAACAGCCGTCCAACATGACCCTAGCAGACCTGTTACAAAAGTATGACCTAAACCAATCCAGGGCAGTGCCTGAAATGCCAGCCCAAGTGTGAAGTCTTGTGATCAAAATGTCATGATCGATCGTGTCGAATGCTGCAGATATATCCAAAAGTACCAGAACCACAAGGAAACCTGAATCTAAAGCCAGAAAAATGTCATTAAACACCCGAACATGAGCAGTTTCAGTGCTGTGCTGTTGTTTAAAACCAGACTGACAGGTGTCCATTACCTGATATTCATTTAGATGTTTCACCAACTGTGCATAGACTATTTTCTCAAGGACCTTAGATAAAAACGGTAATTTGGAAATTGGTCGTAGTTTTAAACTAATAAATTGTGAAATAGCATTTTATTTACAAAATTGAATTCTCGCTTTGTGAAATTTATGTTTTCCATGCAAATATTGAGTGATGAGTTTAAATTTGCTAAAATGTATGTTTTGAAAAATATTGCTGTGTATCAGCACTTCCTCTCTCTGACACACACACCCGAAGTGTGTTGTTGCAGACTCTGGGTAACTAACACGAAGTTGGGCTCTGTATATTTAAAATGCATTTATTTATTATTACGTTTGTGTTTACTAGTGTTGAGTGTTTGTGGTAGCCCACTTTAATCCAGCAGACACTAGAACTCAATCAGCAGTTGTCCCACATACATCCGAGGATGACTTCCTGGGAGTTTCATGAAAATCCAACAGGTTTGATGTTCCAGAGCAGCCAACTCCCCAAAAGGGGGCCGAGACCCCAGTTTGGGTTACAGAACGCTGGGGCCCCAAGAAGAGCTGCAGAAGTCAAATGAACGTTTTAAAATCACCATTGGCATATTTAACTTAAACTATATTGAAAAAGGTAATGTCTCATTTACAATGCTCACACACTCTAATAATAATAAAATCCACAACTGAAGCTTCAAAGTGAATGTGTTAATATCAATTTATTATCTTTTTAAATTACTTCTTAAAACACCCCATCATTTTTTTCTAACACACATGAACCCATCTTCCTTTCCCTCCTCAAGCCTGGGACTGCTTGGTGTAAATGTCTGATGATCCTCCCACCACCACCAGCACCGTCACAAAAAATAAATTCAATTTAAAAAAGAAAGCTCAGCCAAACACAGAGGAGCCTGTTGGGTCTTCCTACTCCGACACCAACGGAGAAAACACAAGCACACACTGATTTCCACACACGAAGGCCGTCCCAAACACTCTTTTAGCTTGTACGAGGAGTTAATGCATGCACCTAGAATCCAACCGAGCATTCAGTAGTACAGTATACAGGGAATTGTCTTGAGCTGGTGTTTCTGAGTCATACAAACAGCAGGGTGATTATCTCTTCTTTTTGAAGTTGAAGTTATAATAATAACAAATAAAAAAAGTTCTGATCTGACGTCCATCCGGTAAACGGGGCTCAGAAACACTGATTGGTTAGGACAGGCTGCTGCGGTCACTGCTGCTGCGGCCACGCGCTCACAGCAGCTCAGTCGAGGCCCGTCCTGCCATTTCTTCTTCTGCAGCTGCGCATTTCCACCGCCTGCATGCTTTGTCCTTCGGCAGTTTATCTGCAAGTCCTGAACTCATAAACAAATAAATACCAATAAAAACCAGTGTTTACATTCCAGTGGACATTTTTCCCCCCAGTGAGAGTCCATTAGAAGAGGTCGGAGTTCACACGAGCAGTGGAGTGTTGTTCTCTCTGCAAGAGTGTCTTAAAATTCAGCTTGCTGCCTAAAAAAATTGCAATCTACTTAAGACTTTACCGCTGGACACACATACATAAATCATCAACAGTTAGTACCCATCGCTTATTAATAATAATTAATATCTTGAAGACACACACCACACCTGACAATGCAACAGTTTGATCAGCTTTTTTTTCCTTTTACAGTTAATGTGGGCCCTTTTGCTTTTTGCAAGAAAAAACCGTGAACATGATTACAACAACAATTAAACACCAGGATTAATTATGGTAATATTGACACCTATAGAAAATGCAGTTTGCTGCTGCAAAACTCTGCAAAACTCATTAGAATATATAAAAATTACTATCATTGTCTTTGTTACTCTATAAAAGCAAATGATTTGTTTTTGATAAGCCCATAATTAATGTACAGTAAAGATCCAAAACGTGGGACGAGTCATCCTTGAATGCCAGTGAAACTTACGACAGGTACAGTACATTTTAAAATGTGTTTGGTCAAGTTTACAATATATTTTTTATTATTTTTAAGTTTTGTACATCTATGTCATGCACTGGGGTGATTGCTGTGGACACATACATTATGTTGTTATTCAATATGTCATCGATCTCAGAACCCCTCCCCTTTGCTTTTACTCTTTTTAGATATTTATACACGTCATTTCTCATCATCCTTGGTGAATTTCATTAGAAGAGTCTTTTTACTTTACAAACATTCGACAGATTAATAGTTTTAAATCGTCCTTTAGTCTTTAAATAATAATGAAAACAGAGATTATGACTGGTGGCACGACATCCCTTAAGAGCCTCCTGAAGGCATTGGTGATGTATCAAGCAACTTGTTTTTGTTGTTTTAGACGCTTATTTAAGAATAAAAAAGATCATCAGCATTTGTTTAAAAAAAAAAAACAAAATAAAAAAAACCTAAACTCCAGGAGGCTGGAAGTTAGAATAACCAATCTTACTTTTTTGTTTATTTTCTCTCTCTCTCTCTCTCTCTTTCTCTCTCTCTCTCTCTCTCTCTCTCTCTCTCTCTCTCTCTCTCTCTCTCTCTCTCTCTCTCTCTCTCTCTCTCTCTCTCAACCTGGACACCACAGTGTGGACAAAACCTTTTTCCTCTCATGCCCTCTTTTTTCTCCATTCCAGCAAAGAACATCATAGAAGAAGACACAGCTGCCGTCCTTTACGTTTGCAGCTTTAGGAGGAAATAAAGGCCAGATGTCGCCACGTTCACACATCTTAGCTCACTTTTATACAAAGGTCAAACACTGAACAGAAACATCCAGTTTTGTTTTGTTTGTCTAACAACACCTTAGTCCAGGGTTAATACAGCAGGAGGTTACATTCCTCCCACACTTCTACCTGTGAGAATGGGAGAAAACTTCTCCACCCACCCTGAGTCTAAAGATGCAGGTTGCAGCTCATTAACATCAGCTTGACCACCTTCTGGGTTCTTTGAATTTTTTTTGTGCATAAATAATTCTCAGCAAAGTTGGAATCGGTTCAGTAAATTAGGAAAGGTGGCAAGCCGAGAGTATTGAGGTGAAGCCTGTGATAGCTACCTTCCTAAAATAAGCCCCACCCATTTTTTGGACCCCCCCAATTTTTGATGTGTTGCCTCCTCTCTAAGAGTAGGACAAGTGGGAGCCGTTAGAGATGTGCGAAGTGACGGAGGTGCTCCGGCTGAGAACACCGTCGCTACCTCCAGCGCCTCCGGGCCCACCACCCGACGCCGTCCTCCTAAGAGGCTGGGGGCTGTTCCTCAGAGCCATCAGGTTGGGGGTCCCTCGCACGGCCAGTCCTCCGCCTCCATATATCCCACCCTGTGAGGAGGAGGATGAGGAGGATGACGAGGATGGGCCAGAGATGGAGGGAGGAGCGGGGGGTGGGGGAGGCAGCATGGCCAGGGACTGTGAGGAGGAGCGTGAGGGAAGGTGATGGGAGAAGGGCAGGGGGTGTGGGTGGGCCAGGTCTCCGCCAGAGCCTCGCACTCCAGCCCACTCCCGCTCTCTCTCCTTCTCCCGCTCCCTTTCTCGATCCCTCTCCCGCTCTCGGTAGAGCTGCGGCGTGCTCTGATGGTGGTAGTGCTGGGGCAGGTGGTGGCGCTGATGATGGGAGGAAGACGAAGAGGAGGAGGAGGAAGAGGAGGCAGAGGAACGGGATGAATGGTGCATGTCCCTCCCATCCCGGCCATGGCCCAGAACCAATCCCAAGCCGTGGGAGGAAGAGGACTCACTCCTACGGTCTCCCATCCCACTGCTGATTCCACTGCTGCTGCTGCTGTTATGGCTGCGGCGGGGAAGCTGCTGCGAAGACGGGTTCTGCTGGTGCACACCATGGCTCCAGTGGCCCACAGAGCGGGAGCTGGAGGGCTGAGCGTTGGGGAAGCCCTGCTTGGCATAAGCATCACCTGGCATGCCCATCAGAGCCATGTTACTGAAGCCTAGACGGAGACTCTCAGAGTCAAAGGACTCAATCTCACTGGCTTGTCTCTCCAGCAGGGTACGGATACGCTCCGAGCGCTCATTCTGCAGGGAGAGCATCTCCTCCTCGATCTAGGAAAAGAGGACATAAATCACATCGTATAAATCTGCATCGTGTCCAATCATATCACTCTTCACTAATTTAAGTCAAACAGTTGACCAAGTTGACCAATCAGAGAACTGTTCTTCCATTTTTTAAAGAGACAGGAGCTGATTTAAGGCATTTTAAACCAAAATGTAGCAAGAGGTTCTGCAGTGAGGTCAGTTAAGCCTGTTCTAGTGGACTCAACATGAAAATGATAAAACTCAGAGCATAATGGGGCTGTAATAGAGTTCAATTCACCAATTTTACCTGATTTTGTAGATGGCTATCATCCAGTTTACACACTTTCCTGTCACCTACTTTAACTTTTAGCAACTCACCAGAATCCTGAGCCATATTTTAAGGAGAAGCCTAACCCTTTGTTCCAGCAGGGCCCGGCGGATGGAGACCCTCTGCTCCAGGTCCTTCACCTCCCTCTCGTGCTGCGTGTCCGTGTGGATCTTTATCTTGCTCTGGTAGGCGTTAAGAAGCTCCAGCTCCTGCTGCAGTTGCATCCGCAGCACCTTGTACTCCGCTTCCTGAGTCTCATCCAACCGCAGCTGAGGCAGAGGAGGAAAGGAGCAGGAGATGATTGTATTAATATCTACCTCAGCTGAGGAGATCAAAAGGGAATGTGAGGAGCAACGTTTGAAAAATCCTTTCTCCAAGTTGGCGTTGCTTTTTGTGCAGTTGGAGTTGATGAAGATTTGATTTTATGCAATAACCTGCTGATTACATCACGACATTTCTTGAGTTATAAATAAACATTTTCCTGACCTCAGATTCCATTAGACAGCATAAAGCTCCCCAGACTTTACCTCCGTGAGTGGATCTGAGCATAAACAAGGGCAGTGGGGATCTGGCTTACTGAGATTCATGTGGCACGATGCCATGTGAGGTAATCAAAGTCCCACAGATGGTTATGTCACCGATGAGACGTGCTGCTGCAGCCTCACTCCGGTTATCTGTTTAAAAGCTCCAGCTGTGTGGGCATCAGCACTGAGACTGGAGGATGGCTAAAGCAATTTGAAACAATCCTGCTGTAATTAAATACTTCTGTTTATGCTGTTAAATGTTTCAGATCACATAAATATGACAGTAGGAAATATAATATGCATTTTTTTAATTGTCTTTTGTAGTAAGCCATTCAAACCAACCTGATCTTGTGGGTAAAACTGAGATTAACCACTTTATTTAGAGACTTTACCAGATGTCCTGAATGATGCATCCTTTTAAATTAGATAATTTATTTTTGATGTATTTCTTTTTATTTTATCAAGTAAAATCAGAGCAACAAAAATCATTTAAATGGATTGTTTTATTTTTCATTGAAAGGCCTCCATCATGGACAATCCAGGACTTGGAGACAGAGACAGAGGAGCTCTAACCGCCTCCTTCAGCACCAGTTTTATCCTAAAAGTAAATCAGGTTAAAGAAACTGTCCGTAAGACAATGGTTGTTTTATGATGGTTTCCTTTAGATTCCTACTTCTGCACTGTTGCTCTAAAGACTAAATTCAATTAACCTGCAGGTTAAAGGGAGTGACACAATTTTAATATATGAATTCAGATTTCATTTGTATTTAAAAACAAACATGTATGCAGCTGTGTGAATGTTGCAGGAGTGCACTGGTAAAATGTCAGTTTATTATAATAAAACCTGATTGGGTGTTTTAGCTGAATTCTAGTGCTCCTAGTCTGATCCTCTTTTCCTCCAGATGTCTGCTCTGGGTCCAGACCAAGGAACACAATGTTTAAGAAGAGCAGTTTCACCCAGCAGGGTTGGGTTTGCTACAGAAATGTGAGTTCAGGTGGAGATTAGACGGGAGGAACAGGAGCCAGGCACAGCAGTGTGGGTGTGGTGTGAAGCGGACAACATCTCCGTCTTACTCACAGCCTGAGTGGACAGCATGTCGTTGATGGAGTGGTCGTACTGCTCTGCCAGGATGGCCAGCTTACGAGTCTGCTCATCCTTCAGACGCTTCAGCACGGCCTTGTGGTCCGACTTGGGCGTGTTCTCCAGCAGGTGGTTCCGCAGGGCCTTGTACTGACGGGTTTGGATCTTACAGGTGTCCTGGAACTGGCGCTTTATCTGAAGCTCTTTGGACTGGAGGAGAGAGGAGAGACGGAAGCAGCTGGGCTGAAAGAGCTCCGGGGGTTTGAATGAATGAATGAATGAATGAATGAATGAATGAATGAATGAAGGAGTGATGCTTGAGCATGATTCAGAAGGGTACATTTTTGACTTTAATGACACTGACCTTTCATTACAGTTTTTGCAGGGAACCAAAATCCATGTTAGGCTAACAATAAAGCCTTCTAGATGCTGCAGAGATCTCATCCTGTTTTTCTATGAAAACGTTCTGCTCACTGCTCTGGAGTGGGAGGAGTTCAAAGACATCATGTGATTTTGAGGCATCTGAGTGAAAATGGGACCAAATGGAGTTGTGAAGGCCAGGTCGGACTGGACTGACCAACATATCCGGGATCAGGTGGTTCCAAAACATGAACGCAAATATTTGGTAGGAAATAACAGTAATGTAATGTAAACTACTTACAAGTACTTGTTACTGTACTTAAGTACACATTTTCTATAACTGTACTTAAGTAATGTTCTTGGGGCTATTTTTACTTTATCTCCATGACATCTAAAAAGTTAAAAAACCAAAAGCACTTTAATCGGTGTTTTGTTGACCCCCACCCCCTAACCCGGTCCGAGGGAGCTCTTATCCGCTCTAGACTGCAGTACCTACAGGTGCTGGCCAGTAAATTAGAATATCATCAAAAGGTTGAAAATATTTCAGTAATTCCATTCAAAACGTAAAACTTGTACATTATATTCATGCAATGCACACAGACCAATGTATTTCCAATGTTTATTACGTTTAATTTTGATATTTATAGGTGACAACCAATGAAAACATCAAATCTGGTATCTCAGAAAATTAGAATATTCTAAAGGTCAATGAAAAAATGTTTGTTTCTCTAATGTTGGCCAACTGAAAAGAATGAACATGAAAAGAATGTGCATGTATAGCACTCAATACTTAGTCGGGGCTCCTTTTGCCTCAATAACTGCAGTAATGCGGCGTGGCATGGACTCGATCAGTCTGTGGCACTGCTCAGGTGTTATGAGAGCCCAGGTTGCTCTGATAGTCGTCTTCAGCTCCTCTGCATTGTTGGGTCTAGCGTATTGCATCCTCCGCTTCACAATACCCCATAGATTTTCTATGGGGTTAAGGTCAGGCGAGTTTGCTGGCCAATCAAGGACAGGGATACCATGGTCCTTGAACCAGGTGCTGGTGGTTTTGGCACTGTGTGCAGGTGCCAAGTCCTGTTGAAAGGTGAAGTCTGCATCCCCATAAAGTTGGTCAGCAGCAGGAAGCATGAAGTGCTCTAAAACTTCCTGGTAGACGGCTGCATTGACCCTGGACCTCAGGAAACAGAGTGGGCCAACACCGGCAGATGACATGGCACCCCACACCATCACTGACGGTGGAAACTTTACACTGGACCTCATGCAACGTGGATTTTGTGCTTCTCCGCTCTTCCTCCAGACTCTGGGTCCTTGATTTCCAAAGGAAATGCAGAACTTGCTTTCATCAGAAAACATAACTTTGGACCACTCAGCATCAGTCCAGTCCTTTTTGTCCTTGGCCCAGGCGAGACGCTTCTTGCGCTGTTTCATGTTCAAGAGTGGCTTGACACACGGAATGCGACACCTGAATCCCATGTCTTTCATGAGTCTCCTCGTGGTGGTTCTTGAAGCGCTGACTCCAGCTGCAGTCCACTCTTTGTGGATCTCCCCCACATTTTTGAATGGGTTTGTCGTCACAATTCTCTGCAGGGTGCGGTTATCCCTAGAGATTGTACACTTTTTTCTACCACATTTTTTCCGTCCCTTCGCCTGTCTGTTAATGTGCTTGGACACAGAGCTCTGCGAACAGCCAGCTTCTTTAGCAATCACCTTTTGTGTCTTGCCCTCCTTGTGCAAGGTGTCAATGATTGTCTTTTGGACAGCTGTTAAGTCAGAAGTCTTCCCCATGATTGTGGTGCCTTCAAAACAAGACTGAGGGACCTTTTAAAGGCCTTTGCAGGTGTTTTGAGTAAATCAGCTGATTAGAGTGGCAGCAGGTGTCTTCTATATTCAGCCTTTTCAGAATATTCTAATTTTTTGAGATACCAAATTTGGAGTTTTCATTAGTTGTCACTTATGAATATCAAATTTAAATGTAATGAACATTGGAAATACATTGGTCTGTGTGCATTGCATGAATATAATGTACAAGTTTCACGTTTTGAATGGAATTACTGAAATATTTTCAACCTTTTGATGATATTCTAATTTACTGGCCAGCACCTGTATAGGGCGGTGGTTCCCAGCCTGAGGTCCACACAAGATTGTAGAGGGCCCCTACTATTTTGCGTATGCTGAATTTGTGAGGTTACCAAGATTAGATTTGAAATAATTACATTCATAAAATCCCATTAACACGCCAAGGAGTATAATCCAAACTATGCAAGTTATAACTCTGTATACATCTTGTAATTATTCACTTTAGTTGTGTGTATGCAGGCAGGAGTTGGGGTTGTGTCTTGGACACAGGAATGGGGTCCTTTGGGAACCACTGCTATGGCGTAAAAGCACTTAATGGAGCAAAAACTCAGCAAACCTTCCTCTGAATTAGAGAAATTTAAGAGAAGTTAAAGTTAACGTCCCATTAGTTGTCACACACACTGATGTGTGTGCGAAATTTGTTCTCTGCATTTGACCCATCCCCTGGGGGAGCGGTGAGCTGCAGACACAGCCGCGCTCGGGAACCATTTGGTGGTTTAACCCCCCAATCCAACACCTTAATGCTGAGTGTCAAGCAGGGAGGCATTGGGTCCCATTTTTTTCAAAGTCTTTGGTATGACCCGACCAGGAATCGAACCCTGATCTCCCAGTCTCAGAGCGGACACTTTACCACTAGAGCTCTGAGGCCTTCCCCGTAACACAAACCTTTAAAGGTTTGACCAAAGAAACTACATTTCTAAAGGTTCACTCACTCCGATTTGATTGTGGCGCTGTCCTGGCCTAGAGTGGATGTGCCCTTATTCTCAGATTATTTCTCCAAATTACACAAATCTCTTATCACACTGCAGATTTAGTGCAAACTCACCAGTGTGAAACATGTACCTTGGGGTCAACAAATCCCCGACGCTAGGGCAAAATTAAAAGAAATTTGTTTACTCAAATGACGTGTGCAGAAAATCAGGCGAGGCGAGAAAACTAAATGTTAAACAGTTATGTAAATAATAATTATTTCACTTATAACTGGGTCACAGTCTACTTTTGTCTCAGTGTAAAGAATGAATCAGATTTTTCACCTGCTACAACTGGAAGAGCAGATGAGAGTTTGATCAGTCGTTGCATTTTTATTTGTTGCTTTTTTAAATATTCAACATAAATGACGGCGTTTGGTGTGAAACAACCTTTCCTGCAGCTGTCGCGGGAATCTGAGTATGTTTACCAATTAGCAGCGAGTCAGCACATTTATGGACAAACTCACATTAAACTGGATGTAGATGGATTGAACTCATCTGTACCGAAACACAAGATCAAAAGGTCCATCAGCAACAGCGAACGCATCCATTAGAGGAAAAGTTTATTACTCACCAAGTTATATTTAAATAATCTCGACTCAAAACCAAAAGCTTTCACTGTCAATATAATCTAATCTGCTTCAGAGATAAGACAAGTCCTCCTTTTGTAGCTTATTATAACTTACCCAGGAAATAAAGACGTACTTTTTATGTGTTGGATGGAAAAAGGGGGTAAGGGGGTTATAACAGATGTGTGTGATGACAGGAGAGGCTTGAGGGGAAAACTAAATCCTAAAGGGATTTCTGCTAAATAAGGGCTGTTAACAGAAAACAGGGAGAATCTAAACAAAGGAGGTGTAAATAAAGGGAAAAATCATAAACAGACAGGACAATGATTTCAAAACAAAAGAATTTATTTTTTATGCAAATAAAAAAGGACAAATGTTTTTTTCTATGCTTGAGAGCACACGGCCGTACAGAAAACGCCGACACACACACACAGCTAAAATGAGCTCGCCCAAAAAGGTCCAGAACAATCTATGCAGCTCTCTAAACCCTGCATAAATAATAATAAAAATAATAAGGGTGGCATAAGTCTGAGGAAACACTCGGACATGTAAACATACAGAGGAACAAGATGAACACAGATCAATGGCAAAACGTAACATTCAAAGCAAACCAGGGCTACTTCCTGGACAACAGGAAGTAGAGACTTTACAGCTGATTTAACCCCACATAAAGGTGCAGCACGCAGCCCTTTTTGCCTCATTATTAGGTGTTTTTAAAGCAGGCAGTCTGGCTTTTATGTTCACGAGTTTTATTCTTTTATTTCACTTAAATAAACGTAAAGAAGCACTTTGGTGTTTCCTGTGATAAAAATCTAACGAGATCTTTGGTTTATTTAGTTATTTAACCTGAACATTTGCAGCTCTAATCCTTTCGTTGATGATCTTTGGTTTCTGATAAAAAGGAACCATTAAAAGCATCGTTTAAGGCACTTGCGCAGGTTTCAGGATTCAAAGACCAATAAAAACAAACGGATCTTTATTTGGCCTCTTTGGGAAATGGCTTCATGAAATGAATCTTTATTAAATGTGGAGGATTGTCAAATGTATGGCTTCATATAAACTCTGCTACTATAAACATTCAAATATAGTTTTATTCTTCTATCAAAGGTCTTCCTACACTCTCACATCCCGCTTTTCCTCTTTGTTCCCTTCATAGATTTGCCCAAACTTTGTAAGTAGGCCCTGTTCTTGTCTTTAAGGGGAAAATGTTTACATGGTAAAACTTTACAAGATTACTGCATCGTGTGCAATAAGAGTCCAGCTAGCTTCGTTATTACAGGCACCAGCTGACTACACCGGGTCAGATCCAAACCGTCTGGGTTTCATCTCCTCCTGGTGGCTCGAGATCCTTCCACTCTAATGTTTATTGCACTTTTACTGACTGACAGCTAGTGTTCAGGCTGATGCTAGTGAAACTGTTACGCATCCTTTTCCTTTTTCACAGTACTCATCCCAGAGGAGTGAAGTTTAACCCACAGAGAAATAACACTGGAGTATTTGTTCTACGCCGATCAGTGCACTTTATCCAATAAGACCACCAGAGAGAAAACAACACACAATTGCACAAAAACGGTCTTAAAAACAACCATAAAAGATTTGTCTTAGAAATTAAGAGCAAAATTATAAAATTAAAGAAACTTAGTTGAACTTTTACAAAAAGCACAATAATAAAATGTTAAAGATCCACTGGGATTAGGACTGCAGCTCCTCCAGTCCTTCTGAAGTCAACAGTGTGGCGTAAACATGCACCAGAGAACGACAGAAGAGCCAAAATCGCTTTCAGCCAACGCACGCACGCAGGCGCGCACACACACACACGCGCGCACACAGAACGTGTGGTTTTTAAATCCTCTCTAAGTGTGACCACAAACCAGTTTGGGGTCCAAGTAAAAGGATGGGCCTGACCCAAAGAGACGAATGATCTGCAATGGTCTGGGGAATGGATAGTGGGGTCACACACACACACACATTTCAGAACACTCCCTTTCACTCTCCTGCTATCTCCATGGTCGAACTTTGACCCGGTCAAACCTTCCAGACGATGCTCGCCTCAACCCACACTCCCACCTGGCCTCATCACGAAACATCCTCACCCTCTCCTCTCTCCGCATCCTCTCCCTTTCTCTCCTTCTCCTTTCCCTCTGCCTGCTCTCCCTGACTTCCCTAGGGAGAAGCTGAGGCAACCGGCTCGGAAGCTCCTTCTTCAGGAGGCCCAGGGTTTGGAGTTTGCTCAGGACTCCGACGGGCATCTTTGTAGCCACCCGTCGGGCCAGTTTTAGAACTATGGTGTTAGCGCAGTCTGCCAGGACCCCCAGCGGGCGTCTACTGAAGCGCCTCCCCCAGAGCAGGCACCTGGCCAGGGGGGAGGTGCTGCTGCAGCGTGCCTGCTGCTCCAAAGATAAACTCTTTAGGGCAACTGGGATTTTAGACTGGCGCACCCCCCAGTTCCGCCCAGCTTTGGGAAACATTTCGTACAGGTTTCGCTCAGCGACACCACCCAGAACCGATTGGCACATGGCAAACAGGGGTCGAGGAAGGCGGAACAGGACCCGCATGCACAATCGGTTGATTTTACGAGGTGCGTGCTGGAGGAAGCTGCGTGCCGGCCTGACGACCAGAACCACCACCAAGTAGAGGGAAAGGAAGAGGGAGGGAGAGCTGAGGAAGGAGGCAGAGATTAAAATCACAGGGATGTAGTAAATCCCCAAGCTGAAGGAGAGTCCTAGACTAAAGAGGGCGCTGGCCCAAAGGCTGAGAGTCAGGTAGGTGGAGAGAGACAGTGAGCAGCATGATCGCAACAGGAAGTAGGAAAAGAAAAGCGCCAAGAAAGCAAGCTCCGCTGAGAGGATGAGGGAGGCGACAGAGGGGAGGGGCGGGGAACGACGAAGGGACAGAAGGAAGATGGAAAGCAGCATTAAAGTGAGGTTGGAGGGCTGAGCGGCAGCAGAGAGCGAGAGGAGGAGGCAGATGGCGTGAGAAAAGAGGGAGGGGAGGGAAGTCTGGGTAGGGGGAGGTAGAGTAGGGGGGGAGACGGGAATGGGCTCCAGCTCCTCTGTAGCATTGGGGAAGTAAAACTCTGACAGCTCATCCATGTCTCGCTCACGGAGCCGTCTTCTTTCTGGAGTGGACGAGGAGATGAGCTCTGATGGACATCCATCAGCTACGCCTCTGCCCTCCGCTTCATCAGTGTCCACACGAGACATGTGGCTGTACTCTTCCTCGTCCTCATCCTCCCACTGAACCCCCTCTACTTCTCTCACATCCACAACCTCTTCAAGTTTCCAGTCAGCATCTCCGTCACCAGTCCTCTGTGCTCCTCCATCCTCCATCTCAAACTTCCCCTGGACCTCAGACACAAACACCCCCTCCCCCTCCTCCATCACTTCTCTAAAATCTTCATCATCTCTGATTTCTACAACTCCATCTAGCTCAGCTCCACCCTCGCACACCTCCTTCACCACCATGCCGTTCTCCTTTTCTAATTCTCCGATGCCCCCGTCCTCTAGCGGCCCCGCCTCACTGTCCCAGCTGCTGATTGGACCCTCAGTGGACTGGCACTCCTCAGGAGGCCCCAGGCTCTCGCTGCTCTCACTCACTTTCAGGCTCTTGGGCTGCTGGCGGACCTCCACGGCGTGCTTCTGACGCAACTCCTGCTCACGCCTCTTGTTGTACTCCATCTGGTTGGTGAGCTCCGTCTGGTGTTGCGTGCGGATCAGGTCGGCCCGCGTGCGCTGGACCAAACCCAGCTGCCGGAACTCCAGCTCCTGGGTGGACTCGTGGTGACGCAGCAGCATGGCACACTCCAGGTCCTTCAGAGTCTGCTTCTTGTTCAGCTCCTACAGAAAACAACGAGCGGAAGATGAACCGAGCTGCACAGGAATACTCGGGTTTAACCGCTAGAACCTAATCTGGCTAAGTGTTGAGTTTTATTTAAACTTGATAAAACTCCCGTTTAGAGCCAAGGGTGGGTGGGGGCACCTCTCTGAGCAGGTCCTGCTCCAGGTTGTGGCGTGCCAGCAGCATCTTCCTCTTGTACTGGCGACACTGTAGCTCATAATACTGCCTCTGCCTCCGCAGCAGGCCGGCCTCCTCCTCAGCCTGCAGCTGCTGCAGACATTCCTTCTGGTGCACCAGCCACTCCTGCTTCTCCCGCTTCGGTGTGGACTGGTTCTCGTTCAGTTCCTTGAGTGAAGGACGAAAAGCAATCATCTCCGCTGCCATGTCATCTTGTCTTCTCTCAGAGAAGCGACAGAGCTGAACTAGACATACCTCTTTGAGCTGCTCCTTTCGCTGTCGATACTGTCGTTTCTGAGAATCGATCAGACCCGTCAGCTCCTTCTTCTGCTGACCCAGTATGTGCTGCTGGAACTTCTTCTCCTCAGTCAGGACCGCCTTAGTCTGAATAAAACAATCAAGGACTTAAATTAGCCTAAAAGAGAATTTTAACCAATTTAAAGGAGGTGTGGTTGTCTCGTTTCAGCTTTTCCCGGTCCTCCTCCTGCACACCTCCTTCTCCAGGACAGCCTGGTGCTTCTTGGACAGCTTTTCTATCTCCATGGAGAAGTTGTTCCTCTGACCCTCCAGCTCTTTGTCCAGTCTCAGCTGGTGCTCGTCCATCTCTGCCTTCAGCTTGTTCTCCAGGCCCATCAGCTGCTTCTGGTGCTGCCGCCTCATCCGCTTGTACCTGAGAGGAGACGCAGGGAGTCGAAAGACCCGAAACCAACGACTGGTCTCTCCTAACGAGATCTACCACCTTACCCAGACATCTGCTCCCTGAGAGCCGAGCCCTGTTCGTGCTCCTGGATCTGACGCGTCACCAGTGAGGCTGTCCTGATGGTAGCGAAGTGATCTCTGCGTCGGCGTCTCCCCCCACCACCACCTCCTCCCCCACCAGCAGAGGATGCTTCTCGCTGCGACTCGACTTCTGGCTGATATGGATCGTCGTAGATGTTGTCATGGCTCTACAAAGAGGGACAAACAGTCTCAAGTAGTCATTAAACTCAACTTTACTGTTTATACAGGAGGTTTAAAACTGCACAGAAAACTCTAGACTCACTTTTGGATAAAAGTCAGATTTACAGAAGTTATTTTGACGTAATTTAACAAAAACATCAGTATGTGACATTGTCCTGTAGAAGAGGCAGTCAGGACTCACCAGTGTGATCCCAGATGATTCCAGCTGCTGGTAATTTTTTTTTAATTTTATGAACATGAACCACTTTTATTTCTCCAACTCAAAAATGTACGTTTATCTTAATTTCCTCAACTTCCATGAACAATGTGATGGTTCTGCTCTTACTTCACTCTTCCTGGAGGGGGTGCAAGTTGGCATCAGTAAAAGAGGTCTTCTGAGTTGAAAAGCTAAAAACCCTCCATGTAAATGTTTGTATTTGTAGCTGAGACAGCTAGACTTTGTCACACAACAATGAAACCATAGGACCAAAATTTTAACTCTTACAACATCAAAACACAAAAGCTGCCAGAAACACAATCAGCTATCCTTCACGAGTAACAGAAGCACCAGGGCGGTGTCGTCTCTACCAGCAGGCGGTTCACCGTCTGGACTGACCAGGGGTTTGTGCAGAATGGAGCTGTTGGAGGTGACGGTGTGCTCTCCCTCCTGCATCATGGCCATCTCCCCGCTGTCGTCGGAGCCGTCTGCCAGGCTGTTGACCGAGCTGCTCTGGGAGCTGGCGCTGATGGACATGGACGGCAGAGAGTGGGAGCTCTCCATGCTGTTGACCGTGCCGGTACGCAGCATGTACTGCTCCACGTCCTGGCAGACAAGAGAAGGAGGTGGTTCTGTTCAGGAACTTTTAACGTTTTGGCAAAAGGAGGTAATTTAGGATGGGAATTAAATCCTAGAATAACCTGGAAAAGGAAACTCCCTCTCAAACCCTCCCTAAAAGTGAACCAACTGAAGTTATCTGACCTCCTCCTCATCGCCTCCTTCTGGTACTGGCCCGTTGGGCGCCTCATGAAACAGGATTTTCTTCATCTTGCGGTACTGAAGGTTGTCTAGCTCACGGACAGCATCCTTGGTGCGTGCAATCAGGTCCATCACCACGGTCATGGGGCGCTCTCTGCATAGGAAATGGTGCTGGGCAGAGAGACGGGTTAGGAGACAAAGAGGTGAGGGTTTGGGACGTTTTCATTTATACGTTTGTGTGAATTTATGATTCTTTTTTTGAGTAGTTTTTGATTAAGAGACGGGTAGATTTCTTTGTTGTAGTTGACTACAGAACAAGACTCCGAGATACTTAAACTCCTCCACTTGAAGCAGGACCTCATCCCTGACCCGGAGAAGGCATTCACCCGTTTCAGATTCAAGACTGTGGTCTCAGATTTGGAGGAGCTGATTCTCATCCCAGCTGCTTCACACTCAGTAACGGTTTAAAGCAGAAATTCAATGTATTGCACAATAAGCTTCTCCCCCTACTTCCTTGATTACGGCTGGAAGCAACGCCTCTCCTTCATGAACCCACACCTCTAGCTGGCCAACAAAGCTGTGTTGTTGATCTATAAATTATTTTTCATCAGTCAGCGTATGTCCTCAAACTCTCGTGCACGCTCTGATTGACATCTGTATGTAAGCGGATGTCTAATGCTATTGGCTAATGCTGAACATAGCTCCATTTAAACTGTATGGGGATCTATGGAACAGTGGATGCGGGGAAAAAAAAAAGAAAAAAAAAAGGAAATTACATCACTTTCATGGAGTAATAAATAAATAAATAAATAATCATACATAATTCCTGAAAGGGGGAAACTGGATAGCTGGTTTAAAAACAAAGGAAAAATTAAAAACTACATTCTCGTCTAAATTAATTTTTAAAAAGTTGATAATTAAGTCCATGAAGTCTAAGAGTGAAGTATAGCTTCGCCATCTGTGATCACATCTTTTATGTCATTTGGACAGAATACCAAATAAAGTAGTAATAAAGTCTCCAAACAATCCAACAGTCAGACTTTTGTACCTTCAGCAGCACATCAGAGGTAGGTCTGTCCTGTGAGATCTTTTGCAAACAGGAATCCACAAAATTGCGGAAATAATCCGACCTAAAAGGGGAAAAAAAAAATAGATGTCATCTCATTTTTATTATTCCAAAGAATAAAATGAGAAAATGATCCTCTCGGGACAATAAAGCCGCATTGCTTCCTGCCAAGTCATGGATGTTCTCTGACTGAGCCTCACCAGTGATCAGACTGCAGCACAGGGCTCTCGTTCTGGGCGATGTGGTATAAGGCACTCATAGCATTCATGTTGAACAGAGGCGGCTTCCTTTCCGCTGCAGAGTGATAAAACACCACATAGCATGACTCAAACACAGAGGAGAGAAAAGGTGGGTGCTTTCAGCCCAGTGAACACTACTGACACACTTAAGGCTAGCTCTTACCCAGCTCTATACAGGTAATGCCAAGTGACCACACATCCACCTTCCCGTCGTACTGCCCCTCGTCCATGGCGAGGATCACCTCAGGGGCCATCCTGCAGAGAGAAGACAGCAACTCACCACCCAGCATCCAACCACGTCCAACTCTTCACCTTTTGTTAGGACCGGAGCAGCAGACAGCGCCCCAGAGCCGCTTCACCTCTAACATCTGCACCACATTACAGTAACTTCTACCTGCTGAGTGATGTAAAACAACACACTCGGAGCTTCATGGATAACACGTTTCAATGAAAACAAACAGATCTACCAATGGAGGTCATTTAAAATAAGCTCAGATTTATGTTGATAAAGTTAAAAGGAATGTTTTATCCTGCAGCTGAGCATTGTGGGAGCTCCTATGTGCAAACTGACTTTCATGTTACCACACCTGCATGAGACGTTTTGGCTTCATTCATGTGGAAGATGGAACACACCCGCTACAGACAGACCTACGGAAGTGGACTAGAGCCACATCTAAGGTCTAAGCGCGAAAAAGAGAAAAACATCTTCAAAGATCAGCGGATAAAAGATGTTTGTTCACACGCAAGAACTGCTGCACTGGGCTGCAGCTGTGGGTGACTGGATGGGTGGAGACACAAAAATACAAGAAAATGTTAGATTTTCACACCAAATCAATAAGCAAAAACTGTTTAGTGGGAAGTTTGATAGGAGAAATTAAAATCTGGTGCAAAAGTCCATTTATGTCAGTAATCCACCTTAGACTAATGCACTTACACACTAGCATCGGCTCTACTCCACCCGCCCCAGCCTGGCTACAATCATTCCACGCTGCTTTAGGAATGCGGGCATGATTGAGCACATGGGCGGTCTACAAAATTGGTGTGAAAAATAAGATATCAGTGATGTCATGAGAGCATCTCCCAGCACGTGGGCGGGGCAAAAGAGCGCAGATGAGTCCGCAGTGTCTCCTTTATTAAACAAAAGCGGTTTTGTTTTTGGAGACTCTGGTATTGCATCCTGCTGTGTGTGTGTGTGTGTGTGTTCCCCTAACAGTGAGAAAACGGCTTCAGTCAGAAGCTCTTTATCTCCACAGCATTCAGAATGATGATGAATCAGTTTGCGTGACGCCCCCGAAGGCTGATTCTATCCACCAATCGGAGGCTTCCCCTAACGGTCGGCATGAATTTGAGCCGGCCAGTCAGTCAGCACTGGGTGTGTTGGACCAGTTCAGCTCCAGGCAGTTAGCCTTGGGAAGAGGGCTGCAAAGACGTTTGATTGTGTGCGAGGAAATCCAAGGCTACCCAAATGAGAACACTCCCAACCCGGTCCAGGTGGAGTAGAGCTGATGCTAGTGTGTAAGGGCCTCGAGAGACCCTCTAAAGTAGTGGTGCAACGGATCAAAAAACCCACGGTTCGGACCGTATCATGGTTTTGACTCACAGATTGTTTTCTGCTGATCCGAAAAATGATCCAAAGGACAAATAACTTTGCTCTCCATTTATTTTGTAGAACACGTAGCGCAGCATTATTATTTTTTGCTTAACATGCTTATTAAATACAAACATTTAACTCAAGATGCCTATCCAATATACAATTCTAAATAATTAAAAAACAAATCAAAGTGCAGTAAATGGCATGGCAGTGACAGGCTGTATATAAAAACAAGGCAGACATCTTCCTTTAAACCAGGAGAGTGGATGAAACAACTTAAAGTGCAATAAGGCCTGGTACCTGCTTTTAAACCTGAAGACTGAACGAACTAGCCCTTGTGCAGATCATCATAAAAAATAAATAAATTTAAAAAAAAATCAAGAAGTAAAATAAAGCAGATCTGAGCTTACGGTTTCAAATTCTTTTTGAGTAAAATAAGGGTGTCTACACTGTCTGGGGAGAGCAAGGACCTCTGTGCAGTCACCATGTCTGCTGCTGTTGAGAAAACCCTCTCGGTAGGCACTGAAGTAGCAGGCACAGCTAGATAGTGTTTCGCCATCATGGCAATGTGAGGGTATTTACCCTCATTGACTTTCCACCATTCCAGTGGATCACCATCCACCGGAATGCCCCTTGCTGCCTGGTAGGAAGTCACCTCCTCTTTGATGGTGTCTGTAACAGTCTTACTTACATCCTTGTCTGTAAAGGTCTCACTAAAAGGCTCCTCCATGGTCGACTTTTTCTGGGGAGGAGATGTGTCCAAACCTGCGTCGGTTGGCTCTGCAACACCACCCTGCAGAGCAACAATTAATTTTCTTTTTCCATAAATTAGAAAAATTAAAAATATTGTTTTGTAAAGTCATTATTTAAAGCAAATAAAATATTTTTTTCTTTACCTGTTCAATGTCTTTAGTGCCCAGAATATTCACAATCCCACTGGTGACATCATTGTATAACTTTTGGCACATGGCCGGGTCCAGGTGGGATAGAGACTTGAACCTGGGATCAAGTGCAGTAGATCTGTGAAGATATTCCTCCAGAGTTGGGGGTGAAGTGTATCTGGGCTTTAAGTCTTCACTGATGGCATTTTTAACATCCGCCGTGATGGTACCGTCTTCTTCACTTGGAGCCATGGATTGTAGAATCCTTGTTTTCAGTGGCAGGATCGTGGAAACAGATGGACCAGTTTCAGTGCTCATTGGTGTGGTAACCATTTTGAGGGGTTTGAGCACCTGGAGGACCTCCTCAGCTACTTTCACATCATCATCAGACAAAGTCACGATGTCTCTGACATTTTTCTTCAGGGTCTTGTCTGTTGGTGCAGAGTACACAGCTGCTTGCTGCTCAACATAATGCTCCAACATGTCAAAAGTAGAGTTCCACCTTGTTGTGACATCATGTATGAGCTTATGAGTAGGCAGCTGTAGCATTTCCTGCTTGGTCTTTAACACATGTGCAGCTGCTGTGCTTCTGTGAAAATAGGAAACCACCTTCCTGATCCTCCCAAGGAGACGGTCCATCTTATTCGGCATGATTCCCTTCTGGGATGCGAAATTTATTGTATGTGCAAAGCATCCTATTTGTGGGCCCAGTCCTGCCTCATTTACTGTCTGATTTTTAGCATCATCTGTTGTGACTGGGATATTTGTATTGGGCCTCTCCAGCTTCCACGCTGCCACTGCTTCGGTGAGTACCTGCGCCAGATTTGAGCTTGTGTGGCTCTCATGCAGGGGGCGTGTTTGCAGCACAGGGCTCCTCATCTCCCACTCCGCTGTAATGTAGTGAGCGGTCACCGTGACGTAGCTTTCCGTTGCTCTGGAGGTCCACCCGTCTGTGGTGAGTGCAACAGAAGACGCCTGGGACAGTTCAGCAACTACTTTAGCCTTTTCCTGCTCGTACAGACTTGGTACGACTTTCTCACTGAAGTGGGTGCGCAACGGAACGTCGTAACGTGGCTCAAGCACTTTCAGCACACGTTTAAACCCTTTGCTTTGTGCCACGGAGTATGTCTGCAGCAATAAACACACCAATAGCATTCGTTATCGTTTTAGCTCGGTTGGACTGTGTGGTTGTTGAGGAGCGCCAGCATTTGTCTTGGACACGCCAAGGGTGATGTCGCTTTACATGGGTGCCCATGCTCGACGTATTTCCACTCTCACAAGGCTTTCTTGTGCCACAAAGCCTACACACCATGATTGTTTTTTCCACCACCCCTCTTCCATCATTAATGTAGGTTACAGGAAAGCCAAAATGCTCCCATACTTGCGACTTAAACGATGCAGGTGGTTCTTCAAGCTCCTCTCCTCCTCCACTTGCCATGACCACTGCTGCACTTTTCCTCGTTTGCATTAAACACGCCGCGCCTCGACGCTCCGTGAACACACCTCTTTGTTTTCGTTGACCAATCCGCGGAGCATGGGCGTGCCGAGCCGTAGAGAGCGATCCATACGGATCACAGATCATTGATGATCCGTTGCACCCCTAATCTAAAGGAACCCTTTATAGGTGTTCTGGATTCACTAACCGGTTAGAGTGTGTCATTTTTAGTGTAGAATATTGAACCGTTTCACAATAATCTAATTGTCTGACTTTTTGAATGTGCAGTTTTCATGTAAACCACTAGCATCACAGTTATAACGAATGGAGGCTTGAAACATCTGGCTTTGCATGGGACGAGTCTCTCAGACATTAGTTTCACCTTTAAAGATGAATTACGGACATAAATGACCTTTTGCACCAGACTCTAGTTTTTAACAGTTTCACCTGTATACACGACCAGGTCATGTGGGACCTCCGACATCCTTGTGAGAACAAATCAGAACTGTTGTTCAGATTTAAAAAGGGTCTCGTGTTTTGTTCACAATTTGGTCACCAGTCCTCCCAAACGTGCCTCCTGTGGCTTTCACAGAAACCCAACGGAGGATGCTTGCAGATTTCTCAGAGGAATCTGGGACCACGTTTAGATTAAATTCATCCTATTTAAATTTTCAGACCCAAAACGGAGAACTCTTGCCATCTCGACAACAGCTGCAGCCCAGTGAGACACTGGTTTTAACTCAGTTTGATGAGATTCATTGTTTATTCCTCACAGAGCTTCACCTCGCACCATGATGCAGATGAACCAAGAAAAAGATCACATTTTCATGAGCGTTTACATTCTGTGTCCATCTACAACTCGTCTTTACAGCAGGTGGGTGGTGGTTCTGTGCCAAGTCTTCCTAAACTGGCTGACTGTTCATCCTGGATGCTGTTTCAGTACGATCCAAGTGTTCCTCGAACGACCTTCTGTCATTAACCCCTCATCATTCCAGTATCCCGCCCAAAGGACAAAACCCCCATTGCGTTCATTAAACCTGGAAATTTAAGGGGTTAAACACTGGTTCAATGTGCCGCGGGCAGAACCTGGCCTACATTTAAACTTCAGCTCCATCGCTAACCAATAAGTTCTTTCCCGTGACAACCAGTTTTAGTAGGAGCAAACAAGTTTTTACAATTCACCAATGAAGACCACAAAAAGGGAACAAATGCAGGAGAAGGACATTATACCACCCATCATTCACTTTAAAGAGTTAAATACAAAGTTTTACCAGTAAGGAGTTCCAACGAAGGAGTTGGCCGGAGCAACTATAGACGCAGAGCCAAAGTCTCCCAGTTTGACCTGACCCGGCTCTGTTAGCAAGATGTTTCCTGCTTTCACGTCCCTGTGAGGAGAAATGAGTTGGTCAGGAAACACGGAGGGAAACCGTCCAAACAAGGAGATGAAGCCCTGGAGGCTGGAGAGTAACGAGATGTTTGTACCTAAATGAGTTGGACCAGAGTGTGTGTGTGTGTGTGTGTGTGTGTGTGTGTGTGTGTGTGAGCATGTTGCATAAGCTTTATGCCTGCTCCCGTTTGTGCTTTGTCTCCTCAGAAGAGTGGGTGGTGAGAGCAGAGTACAGGTAATGAAACAACTAAACGAGGGTTACCTGTGAATCATGTTGTGAGAGTGAAGATACACCAGTCCCTGCAGCGCACCATGGGTTATGGCAGCTATTTCCACTTCCTGGAGGGGTTTCTTATGGACTGGGAGAAACATTGAGTGTTAATTACGCAAAGAAAAAAAAAGCCTTTCTTTCTCTTCACTTTTTCGTACCTTCTAGGAGGTCAGATGCTGAACCCAAGCAGTACTCCATCACCAGCTTAAAAACACAACAGACAATGTTTAGATTCAATCTGGGCTGAATAAGTTTTATAAACGAAGGTGTGTAACACTGTTCAGCGCTTTGGGCTTCCTGACAGGGTTGCGGAAGGCGCTTTATAAATAAAGCTTTGATTGATTGATTGATTGATTGTGTAGTGGCCATAAAACATTGTAATGTTGTAACCACTTCATACTTAAATATGTTCTTTATCAGGTATGCTTCTACTGTTCTCTTTAACTTTATTGGAGTGCAGCTGTTTTTAAATTATCTCCACTAACTCATCAAAACGGAACCCAACACCTAACTTAATACCTGCATTTACAACCTGTTGTTCCAGGAAGCAGAACTGACTGAATCAGATTAGTCAAACACTGACTGTGTGTAACACAGGGAAACGCACAATAAGAGAAAAACACACAAGAATACTACCTAAATTTCTGTATGCTTTGTGTCAGCAGCAAAAACTACAACTGGCTTTGCTGTTGTGTGTTCAGAATGACAGGAAATATGGGTAAACGAGGAGGGAAGCAGAGAAAGTCGCTAACAGGATGAAAACAAGCTTGATTTAATGTTGTCATGGTTGTTAGAATCTAGAGGAATATAACACATCTTCTCTTTTCCATTTAGCTCACAGGAACTGACTGTGTTGGCATCACATCTGAATGAGCACCCGGACGCTTTTCTGCAAAGTTGCAGTCAAAATCCCACAAGAAACGATTCCGAGACCTTCATCAATAACCATGAAGCAGAAACACACACGCCTGAGAGGGCCTAGAATCTGATGCAGGCATCTTCTAAAACGGGCTTCAAGAGTCTTAATCATTTTTAATGAACCAAAGGGAAAGGGGGGGGGGGGGGGGGGGGCAGTACAATCTTTCCCTTGCAATTGTGTTTCCTATGGCTATTACATCATCTGTAGTTTGTTTGTGTGTGTGTGTGTGTGTGTGTGTAGAAGCTTCTGACCTGATCATCACTGTCTACTCAGCAATGATATCAACGGTTTGTTCAAATACACATTATTTTCCAAACAAAAGCAATTCATGGGTGATTTCAGAAAAATTTCCAATCGATATTCGTCAATCAAAAAATGACGATGGGTGATATAATTGTGATATATTATATATCACAACATATATATGTTCTGTGGGCCTGACACATACTGCACGGAGCACTCCACCAATCACAATCATTCATACTCAGTTTGCTAAAGAACGTCAGGATAGTTCTACCTGAGACTTCACTGTTTTCCTAATTTCATTAGCTATTTGAGACATTAATAAACTGTAAGATGTACCACAGTTGGGTTTGCGCTACACACCTGATAATAGAGGCTGGTACTTCTAACCTGTCAGCCAATAGCAGATGATTTAGGTCCAGCCGAGGAGGAGACAACCCTTCACCTATTTTTTTGAGAAAATGTCACTCAAAAGTGTGAAGCTAACATTTAGATGCTAACGTGCAATTTGAGAGATGCATCTGAGGGAAATTTAGATTGTTTTCTGCAATAATTGAAGTTGGATTGTTAACACAAGACTTGTTAGGGAACAAATATTTGATTGTACTTTTATTGGATGTAAAAAGTCCATCCTTGTTGGAGATGGCTCAGTTCTGTTAATGGTAAGAGGCTTCGTACGGCTAGTTGGACATTACTGTGAATTTTGGAGTAGTTTGACAAAAGGATGTACTGAGTCTACAGGCGTGTTTGAATCCTTGACTGCAAAATATCATTGGAATCATAGATTTGAAATGATGTACAGTATATGTACAGAAAGAGTTGCAGAAAAGATGCTGATTCGACATGGAAGTTTGCAATGTTCCATCTGCAAGAATTACAAGCAATAAAAAAATAAAAATCGCTCAATAAATAAATAAATAAAAAGGGTTTGGCTAATCGCCCAACCTTCTTTATGTAAAACTCACTTGTTCAGGCTGGCTTTTGCGTGACCTTCATCACCCTCTCTTTGTTCTGCTCTCCCTACTTATTCCACCTTCCTCAGGATCCACTGATTTCCCTTTTTCCTATTCACTCTCTCTTTCTTTACATTTTTAATCACAATTGTCTATTTTTTGCTCACTTGAAATATATTTTTTAAGAATTTTCTTAATTCTTTTTTATATTTTTTGCTTTTGTAAAGCGCCTCGTGATTTTTATCTTGAGAGGCACTATAGAAATGATCTTTCCTTCTTCTAAAATAAAAGCAGGTTTCAACCGGTGACCTTTTGACCCCTCTCTTGCTCCGAGATGTTACAATAACTGAAATCTGGATCAAATTCTCATCTATTGATGTTGGAAAGCAGATTAGCATCATATATCCCATGCATGCAATGGGTTTTTTAAAATTTCCTTCCAGTGTTTGCTGCCCTTGTAGATGTGTGTTTATTTCCTCATTTGCTAATATGTTTAGCCACTGGTAAAGCAAAGAAACGCAGGCAAACCCATTGTTGAATCCAGGGCAGGGCCTTTACACCGGAAAACAATACTAATCACGAAATATGACACAACTGCAGTTTGTTTTACTCACCCAGGCTGTGTGCTCTCTCAGGTAGCAGCCACGGTACTCAACCGTGTTGGGGTGGCGCAGTTTCTGGAGAAACTTCACTTCCTTGATGATATCCTGCCATTTCTGGAGGAGGAACAGAGCAAGTCACTAATAAGCAAATGTTCTCCACAGATAAACTGGTTTTCAGTAGATTACAGAGCTTAGGGGTAGAACGATTATAATAATTAAAATAAAAAATAGACTGGATCTATATAGAGCTTTTAAAGGCACCCAAAGCGCTTTCTGTTTTTCATGCACTCTCACATTTACACACTGCCAGTGATGGTAAGCTACTATGTAGCCATGGCCGCCCTGGAGAGGTCTGACAAGAGGTGAGGCCACCATTTCGTGCCCCTCTGACCATGACCAACACAGGAAAGTCTAGGTGAAGTGTCTTGCCAAAGGACACGACAGCAGAATACCCCTGGCGGGAGCTAGAATCAATTTAGTTCAACTCTTACCTCATTGGACTGTTTGCCACTATAGGACATCTTCTTGATTGCCACCACCTCACTTGTGCGGATGTCATTGGCCTGGAAGACAGTGGACACAAACCAGTTCAGTATTATACAGGTGCTCCACCTGCACTTGGTGTGTTTTTAATTCAATGTTGGCTGGAAGCAGAGAAATTAAGCTTTTTAATTTTTTTTAATAAAAGGTAGATACACCATGATTCATCATTCATTTTAAAAACTGGACACAGCAGCTATGAGTATTACATAAAAACATTTTTATTGTGCTTGCTCGGCTTCACTCTCCGGTCCACCTCTACATCCACGACTAGCTCTTTTTCACCCTTCATTAAACAAGCCTTTTCATCCACCACTGCCAAGTTATTCCTCAACCCCGACTCACTCACTGCTTTTTTTAATACCTTTTATTTCTCTCGTCAGCTTTTTATAACCTCCTGATAGATGTATCCAGCTTTTACTTATTAAGCACCAACTTCAATAACATCTTTGATCCACAATTTATCAACACCATCAAATAAATGTTATTTTTTAGTTCTATCAGTTTATTTTACCTTCAACTACAATGACCCTGACAAGACTCGGAGCAGTTTCTTTAACTGGTTGATGATGGCTTAAGTTAAATGTTCTGGAAAAGCAACCTTGTCCTTTTATCTCAATCTTCTGAGCTCAGCACACAGGTTTCAGGATTATTCAATGAAACCATTACTTGTCCCTGCTGCGTATAAATGTGGTTAACAGGAATTGCTTTAAAAATGTTCTTATTTTCTTATCTTATTAGAAAGTTTTGTTAGTACCCATTAACTCCTGGTGTCATACTGATCAGCTTTCATTTGTTATTCTGTGGTTTAAAAAAAGAAGTGAGGAGATATTAAGGATGTAAGAAAATATCAATATGGCAATATATCACAATATTTTTTCCAGCAATATATCAACATTCAAAAGCAGTGTATCTAATTTTTGGAAGAATTTACATGCAGACATTTGTGTATTTTCTTTTCTTTTGTCACAATTCAAACAGCGGCCACTAGTTGGCAGCAGTGTGAATGGGGTTTGTTACAAAAGATTCTGTGTCACAAGCTTTCTAATTACGTATTTGTCTTTAAGTGTTGCAAAAAACAAACAAAAAAAATGCTGATTTGACATCAACTTTGTAATAATATACCATCTACGAGGCTACATAAAAAAATCACTCATAGAAATGGTAAAATAATAAAATGGTCGATAAATTCCTCCAATCGCCCACCTTTACTCTGCACCAACACACCTGGTTTGAGGTGTGTTGGGCAGAGGTGATTATTGGGCTTCTGAAGAAGAGAAACAGCTAAAACATGCTGGACTAATGTAGAAAAGGCCTGGCATTCACTAATGGAAGCTCATCTATTACTGAACTCTTCCATGAAAGTTATGCATCTTAATAAACGTTAATAAACATAAGAATGGTAAAGGTCTTTAGCTTACTCTGCTGATCTTGTATGGTAGGTTATAAACCTTAATTACGACAATAGCTACGTTTACATGGGCAAAAAAAAATCAGACCTATAAGATCAAAAGTTCTTTATGTAAAACATGTCAATCAGAATATTCTGATCCAATACGGCCTGATCAGAATGAAATTTCCTTCCAACTGAGAGAGGCGGTTTTGTCCGATCATCCGTCTGATTGACGTCCAAGTACACACCCATTTGGATTGTTGGGGTAAAATAATGTCCACGGTGCATTTGTGCAACTTCAGCATGACATTTTTCCGCCTTTGCAGATGCTCAGAATGAGTTGAAAACATGACGGAAGGTAAACAGAAGTGGTCTGTTTACTGTAGGGCTGCAACAACGAATCGATAAATTCGATGAAAATCGATTACTAAAAGCGTTGGCAACGAATTGCGTCATCGATTCGTTGTGTTGCACAACTCTTCCAAAAGCCCCCTCCCCTCCCGCCCGCCGTTGCGCGCAGACCGGTGGAGAGCTGGCAGGTGTTTGTAAAAGAGGAACATGGCAGAAGCAGCGAGACCCCAAAAAAAGTAAAAACTTCTAAAGTTTGGGAGCATTTTCAGTTAAATCAGGCGAAGACATGCAACGTTTGTAGGTCAGACTTAGCATGGCACGGGGATACTACGGTGATGATGCAGCGTCTTAAACGCAAGCATGTCAGAATCATCAGCGAGGAAGGAGAGAGCTCTGCATCCGGGTAAGTTAAAAACTTTTCAAAAGTGATTTACCCAAGCCCCGGATTATGACACAGGCTAGACATGCCCTAAGCTCGTTAAAAAAAGTCTATAAAATTGTAAGCGCGACGCTATTAGATAGGCGGGGGGGTGGGGGGTGGACTCGCGCCGCTGCGAACCGGTTCCGCCGTCACATTCCCGCAGAAACTGGTTGATCACACCGGGGCCAGACTACTAGCATGTGGCTTTACAACCACAATGTCCTTAGAAGCGAAAACGCTTTTAAAAGGGAGGGAGGAGTCCTAACTGTTGCTGCAGGCGTGTTGTGTGAGAGTGCAGTTATATACTGGTTAATATATTTTTGGGTTCAGTTGCTTTCATGTGGCCTAATGTGAGTCTATTTGGGATCATTGGAATGATCAGCAGCATTTCTTGATGTGACTTTATGGCAGTTGCCCAGGGCATCATCGCAAGGAGGGTGGCATTCATTTACTTTTGTTTTATTTGGTATTTTTCAGTCATTTGTGGAAATAGTGATCAATTTTGATTAATTCACAGCCTATGTTTAATTACATTTAAAAATTAGTTGTTTGACATCCCCAATTATAATAAATGTCTACAGATGAGATCAAACAAAACAGATGAGAATTGCCCTTAAAGAGCAAGTCACCCCCAAATAAACTTTTTTTTGCTGATAAACTAAATAAACGAGTGTCTAATCGTGCTGCAGACACGTGTCGTCAATAATTTGGCACTTCAGTGCATCTTAGTTAAAATTTAAATATTCTGCCTAAAACTGGCAGTGTTGTGCCGTTGTCAGGTTAAAACTCTGCACTGTATTTTAATTTAAATCTGCCACCGCTATTGGCTAAGAAGTATGCTATGATGTAAACTGGTACATTATGATGTCACAATGCTGTCGTGAGCCTGAGTGTGTGTGTATTTGTTAGCGGCTCCACCCTCTCGGTCTGCCAGGCAACAGCATGTGTTGCATTTTTCAAACATGAAGCGCGAGTAGAGTTAGACTCTGGTAGGGGTTGACTTGCTCTTTAAGCTGTTTAATTGGACCAAGCATTTTAGGTCACAGATAGGTGTAGCTTAGGGTCTCTGTCTATACACCATATAAGACAATTTAGGTGATGGCATGTTGTTTTTCTGCTATTGAACTGTTTTCTAATAATGTTGTGTTTAATAAAGTGAAGGAAGGAGAAAAATAACATTTCCCTAGCAGTTTTTAAAAATGTCCCTATGGAATCCGATTAATCGATTAATCGTGTCGAGACCCCATCCGATTAATCGATTATCCAAATAATCGTTTGTTGCAGCCCTAGTTTACTGGAAACTCTACGGAAGTTTAATATCATTGAATGTCTCAATGGCCAAATGGCTAAAAATGCCGAGTTATACACTCAAGTACATCTAAAGACACAGGAAGCGGGAATTCACAGAAGGATCGACCAATTCAAAAACCACTGGAAAGGTAAGTCAACAGACAAAGCTAGAGAACAAGAATATAAAGTGAGAGTGAAAAGACGTGCGAACAAGATGATGTTTGGTTACAATTTCTTTTTTCGGGAAAGGCAACTCTGCACATGCTCAACCTATTTAATCTGACTGAACGCTTGGTGCATTTATACTCACTGCATGATCGGATCATTTTAGTTAGTGTCCATGTAAACAGAGATTTGGGATTTCCGATCAACCAAGATTTGAATCAGACAGGGGAAATTCGGCGTATGTAAACGTAGCTACTCTCTGTTCTGATAAATCTGTTCAGAATGTAAAAAGAAAATGTCTAAGATTAGAGGAATTAAGTTCTGCAAGAAGTCGATCTTGGGACTCATTCACGTCCTATTTTAGGGAAACAGAAATCAGAAAATGAACAACAAGGCCCTTTTCTTATGACAGATGTTGCCACTTATTGTTAGGATAAATACTTAAAGCAAAAAACACATTATTGCAGGTCTTACATCAGTTGATCCAAGTCAAAGCCAAGTACGGCCGCTGCTGTGCCAATGTTCCATCAAAGAGCAGAAAAATAATGTTACTTACAAAGTAGACTGCTCCGAAGCTTCCATGACCGATCTCCCTCAGGTCTGTGAAGAGCTTCTCAGGATCCTCCCTGCAGAACAACTCAGCCACCTCCGGGTCCTTCAGGCTCCCGGCCCGCACACTCGACGGCATGGCCAGCGCCTGGTGAGAAACAAAGAGGCAGGATAAGCGTCTGCTCTTTGTAAAGATTACAAGCGTTTGTGTCGAAAACGAAGAGGAAATGCACTTCAGTCTGTCACTTCTAGCCAGGAGACTGGTGTTTAGTGAGCAACTATAAGTCTCCTGTCATTCTTCTAGATGTCCTGCAGAGGTAAATTAGAGACTGCTTATGCTGAAACTGAAAATAGGAAGTGTGGAAGAGCAGCTGAACATTAAAACAGCACTTAGATCAGGTTTGTCCTGACAACGGAGTAACAGCTGTACAGTGGTATCAAAGTCAGCGCATTAAAACAGATATTTGAATTATTTTTTGTTACACAGACTGCCACTAATGACCTACGCACCCTTCTGCAGCATGGCAGGGTTTTTGTTTCCAATTCACTTTATGCCTACAAAGCACTAGTTGTGCTGCAACGGCATTTAAAGTATAACCCCCCCACCCCAACTGTGCTAGTTCATATGAGCCAAAACATCAAATAAAATCCACATCTTCTCATCTACCAGATAAAATCCTTATTGTTCAACAGCAACAACAATGTCAATATGATGTGAATACAACATTTAAAAACCACTCAATTCCTAGTAAAGGTTTCTCTTACCTAAAACCGCCTCAAAGGAGGATTTCTGATAAATTAAACAAACGCTTTTCTTTTCGTTCTATTGCTGAACCAAACATTCCCCCTTGTTGAATCATCTGAAGTGGTCGTTCAGAGGTTTTTACGAGCCTGCACACACTCGGTAACACCTCCATCGACAATTAGACAACCGGTACGTACACCCAGGCTGCCAAAGGGATTAAAAATTTAGTGTTTTGTTCGCTCCTTTTTTCCAAACAGTAACATGTTGGCATAAAAAAAAATCATGACTTCCCCCTTAGCTTAAAAACTGTACGATGTATATCTGTTTTGCATGATTGCACTTGATGCTAGGAAGTGACTACTTCATCCAATAAACATTTAAATAGTTGCAAATTTTGCAGAAAGTTAAGTCACCACAAAGACTGATATCTGACTAAATTTAAATGTATATATTATTTGAGCTTTTAAGACTTGATGTAGTGTCTTTTAAAACACGGGTAGTAAAAGCTTAAAATGTTTCCAGACCGTACAGGTTAACGATTAAACGGTCCATGATTTGCATGCTGTATAAAACAGTTTGGCCACAGGATTTCCCTGCTTTTCTGAACCCTCGTAGGAACCTGAAACCCCGACCGAACCTGGTAGTTCTCGGAAAACCTAATCTAGAATCACCTGGGCAGTCACACAGTCAAAACAGTGGAGCACAAAATAAAATAATTAAAACATAACTATAAATATACACACACATGCGCGTGTGTGTGTGTGTGTGTGTGTGTGTGTGTGTGTGTGTGTGTAAGAATTATTGTCCTACTGAATGCTACAAGGTCAGGTTATCCTTTAGCACAGATTTCAAAAAGGTAGAAATCTAAAATAATAATGATCAGGTTTCTAAAAGTCTGACAATAATTTCTGAAACGGTTGATAACACAGGTGTACCCCAAGGTTTTATTTTAGGAACTCTGCTGTTTAGTTTATAACATTAAAGATATTCCTGAAGTTTGTCATTTTAATTTAATTTGGCAAATACATGCCAATATTATGGTTTTACATTATGAAAAAAAAAAACTTGCAGGAAAACACATTAAAATGGTCTGCTTTACTGATCAAGATCTCGGAATGGTCTTACCGGTTTTGTTTAAATCCCGATACGAATAAAACAATTTTTTTTCTCCCTACAATATCTATAAAGATCAAGATCCCAAAGGTAGAGCAGAAGGTGGACCACTATCAATGGTAAAAGTACTATACATACTTGTGTAATAAATTATTCATAATTTACTTTTGAAATGCATCTTTAATATGGTGTTAGTACAATTACATTCTAGCATTGATATATACCAAAATATTTACCTACTGGGACTTTTAAGATGTGCATGACCCTTACTTTGACCATAAACCAGGGGTAGGCAATCCTGGTCCTGGAGTGCCACTATACACATGTCTTAGCTCCAACATACCTGAATGAATGTTGATTCACTTGTTAACCAAGTTATCAAGTGCAGCAGAAGCTTGTTAATTACCTACTGAATAAAATCAGATGTGTTGGAACAGGAAAAATACAAAAATGTGCTGGATATTGACACTCAGGGACCAGGATTGCCTACCCCTGCCATAAACTGTAATACCTGACACGATTTGATAAAAAGGTAAAAGATCGTTTCATTGTAGATTCTTAACTAAATAAAATTTTTGCAGATGTGTTGTGTAGCTTTTGTATTTAATGCAATTTTGTCTCTTGTCTGCTCATTTCAGAATCATGATCAATGATTTTATCAATCATGTGTCTTTTGATTGCTGCTAATGTTTTTTTTGCTCTACTTTTTCCTTTTTTATTCACATTTTTAATCTGAATATTTCCCCTTTTCCCCATTTTTAAATTTGATATATTTTAAATCATTTCATTTTGTTCTTGTGAAGTGCCTCATGGTTTTTATCTTGCTTTATATTAAATTCATTTCATCTTCAAAAATCACATTTTCATCTTTTACCACCAACCTGTGTGGAACTACACATAAAGCATGAGCTATGTGGTTAAATCTGGCCTATTTATACATTTACCAATGTAATATATATAGTCCCTCTTTAAAATAAATATACTTAATAGTTGTGGATAAACAAAAAGTAATTTCCAACAAAACCTCACATACTAGGTCATAATACTTTTTTGGAGTAATATTGTAAACAAGAAAGTTTTACAAACTTCAAACTAAATCCATCAGTCTGTGATAAATGGGGACCATAAAAGTTTTAAAATATGGTCTCTTGTAAATATGTGTGCGTCACAGCAGAATAGCCAGAAGCTGCTGCGGTACAACGGCCTGGTGGGAACAGATCATGGAGCAAACCGGTAATGTGAACAACACCTGATTTATTTACAAAGGAATATGCTTTTACAACCGAGTCATATTAGTGTGCCAAAACACTTCAAACAGAGGGCATCTCTGTTGTTCTGTCTGGTTATTTGTTACAGGAGGAAGCTCATGCTTCTTTTTACAAACGAGAAGCTCTTGAAATACTGCTGCCCAAGGCCAGCTCTTGGATCTATGTTGTAAGAATTTGGTGGCAGACACCTACAATCACAGGAGTGGAAAATGACCAAGTCAGGGAACTAAATGGCGGTCCCACTGGTGGATCATGCAGATTGATCACTGCTGTGATCATCATGATTTGTGTGCATGCCAGATGAGCATTAACTTCCTCCGGCAACAAGCTGTCATAGATGAAAAATCAGAAAAAGGAGCGCTGAGTGGTCACTCCCTTGCAGGCTGAGGAACAGATTAGCACGCTGAATGATTTATAACACGTCTTACCGTGGCTTTTGGGATCCACTGTAGCTAGCTCTGGAGCTAGCTGACTGGCCTGGCAGGAAAATATTGGGTCTCCGCTCCCTGTCCTCGGTTCTGGTGTCTATTCAGCACGAAAGGACCTCATTCTGTCTAGCGACGGTTTTAGCCGAAGCCCGCTCCATCCTGGTAGATAGAACAGCTAGGACGGGTTTACGACTCGACATGAGTACAGACCACAGACCCAGCCAGTCAGACTGACGCCTGCCAGCTAACCGCTGACAGCCGCTGAGGAAACCAGAAAACCAGCTCTAGCGGCTGCTAAATAACGGAACGCCAGGAGCTGCCGGGGCCGCTTTCAACGGGAAACCGAGTCGTTCAAAACCGCCGCTCCGCTCCGTTCTCCGCCGCGCTATGACATTTCATTAGCGTAGTCGGTGGGTTTTGACTCTAGTCCGTGTTTTTACCCCCATTTTCCTCGACTCTCATCCGTTTTTGTTCAGGACTTCATGATGGCGGAGCGGGGCGGGAGCTGAGAGGAAAGCGGAAGTGGTCTTCTTCGGTGCTTGAGAGGCAGGCGGGAGTCCAATAGACCATCCCCATGTGGCCGAGGACACTCACACACACACACACACACACACACACACACACACACACACATACACACACACACACACACACACACACACACACACACACACACACACACACACACACACACACACACACACACACACACACACACACACACGAAGGGCTGATTAAAACAAAAAAGATTGGGAACTTTGGTAGATGGGTAAACAGACCCACCTGAGTCAGAAACACTGGTGTAAGATTTATTTCGGCACATTTCACAAATCACAGATTACTTATTTTTATTTTTGACTTGTAGAAACCCTGGATAAGATATTGCGACATCACAGGAAGAGAGTCACTAGAGAGAGAAGCTTTATTGTAGGCCTCAAGTGTGAAACATGGCTTGACAATCAGGGGTGGACTGGCCTATCTGGCATTCTGGCACCGTTCCGGTGGGCCGCTTAGCCAAGTGGGCTGCTTGCCCAGCTTGGGCCGACACCACTCCACAGTTGGTGATCTGCAGAACATTAGCTACACGGTAACCCGAAGCTAACAGAGTTTTCCAGGCATTTTTAGCAAGAAAAACACGATAGAGCGATGACGTAGGTGTTGTTTTACTGCGTTAGCATGTAGCTAATGTCCCGCTGATCTCCACCCGTGGAGAATGAGCTGATCTGGAAGGCCAGGGCTCCCGGTCGCAGCGGTCTGGCCCTGCTTGTAATTTAACAGTCCCAGTCCAGATTAGATCTCACATTCAGCCAAGAGACGAGTCCACGGGCGGCAACACCCCCCACCCCTCTCCCAATGGGGAGGGCCGACGATTCGTAAAAATGCCAGGGCCGAATTTTGGTCCCAGTCCACCCCTGTTGACAATGAAGAGCAGTTTATTAACAATTCTTGCAATCACAAACTTCTAGTTGATGATCAGATATCCAGCAGGTCATTCTCGTGCACCCACTTCTCTATCATGGCGACAAACAAATACCACCAAATACTGACACCAACAGAACTTGAAGGATAACTAAAGAACAGGTATTTATTGAAACACAAATATATAACGTCAAACCATAAAATAATACTGGAGAACTCTGCCGCTAACACTTAAAGCCCATTACCCACAAGTCTTTGCAGCCTCCTGAGCAAGCTGCATGGCTCTGCTACACCACAAAGCCCCCACCAGAGGGGTTAGTCGTTCCCAACAACCCCATCTTCTATAACAAAGTCATTCAGATGAGCGGGTCGGTGCCGCTGTCGGGTCGGTCGTCCAGTGCTTGAGTCTCTCAAGGGACTCTGGCTGGGTTCGTCAGTCTTCGTGCCCCCTGTAAGCTACGGCTCTGGCGAGACACCAATGACCAGGTCCACTGGAGTCCTAAGCTCTCGCCCAAACATCAGAGCAGCCGGTGTGCACTGGCTGGACTCCTGCACAGCCGTGCGGTAGGCCCAGAGGACCCAGGGCAGATGACGGTCCCAGTCACTCTGATGACGATCAAACAGAATGGCCAGCTGAGTGGCCAAGGTCATGTTGCACCTCTCCAGCAGTACATCGCTCTGTGGGTGGAGAGGGGTCGTCCGGGTTTTCTTCACCCCGAGCAACCTGCAGACTTCCCTGAACACCTGGGCCTCGAAGTTGCGTCCCTAGTCACTGTGGAGTTTGGCAGGGACCCCAAAGCGGGTGAACATCTCCTTGACCAACTTCTCAGCAGTCATATAGGCAGTTTGATTTGGCACCGCATACGCCTGGGGCCACTTCGTGAAGTAGTCCATTGCTACAAGAACATAGCGGTTACCAGTCTCGGTGATGGGAAAATGACCATGGATGTCCACCTCCACTCGCTCCATGGGGACCCCTACCAGGTACTGTTGCAGGAGAGCGTGCAATCACTAAGGTGGCCCTTTTTGGGAGGTGCACAAATCACAACAGTGGATGTACAGTTCCACATTTTGTCTGTTTCCCGGCCAGTAGAATCGTCCTCACACTCTGCACACTCTGGAGAGGCTGTGCATGAAGAGCCGGTGGCACCAGTGGCTGCAGAAAGTCATTGCAGCTGCCATCTCCTGTACATTAGATCACCTCGGACCTCGAGGTTGTCCCACAGGGAGTGGTAGGCTTTCACTTCAGGGCCCTGGGCTGACACAGGGGGCCACACGGGGCGTCAACCTGTTTCCAACAATTCTCTGATTGACGCCAGGGCTGGATCTGCCTCCTGGAGTTGCTTCAGCTGGTTCTGTGTCCAATGAAGATTTCCTTCGTCAGTGTTCACCTGAGCAGTGGCAACGATTGGGCTTGCTTGATTCTCCCGCTCATCCTGTCGTTGGCAGTAATGGCACTCTGCCACCGCACAGGGTCTCCGGGAAAGGGCATCAGCAATGCTGTGTTGTTGACCAGGTCGATGCTGGATCTCAAAGTCATAGGTCTGAAGGATCTCTAGCCATCAAGCCACCTGGCCTTCTGGTTGTTTGAAATTCAAGAGCTAGGTCAGCGCAGCGTGATCAGTGCGCAGCAGGAATCGGCTACCCTGGAGGTATGGTCGGAAGTGTCGGACTGTCACCACCACTGCCAACAGCTCTCGTCAAGTCACGCAGTAGTTCTTTTCTTCCCGGCTCAGGGCCTGGCTGAAGGAAGCCACCACTCTTTCTCCCCCAGGTCTGGCTTGGGAAAGGACTGCTCCCACTCCCACATTGCTGGCATCTGTGTCCACTACAAAGGGGACCTGTGCTTGAGGGTAGTCCAGGACAGGGGCTGCTGTGATGGAGGTCTTAAGTTGATCAAAAGAAGCAGCACAGGCAATAGCCCAGTGAAGGGGCTGACTGTCGGTAAGCTGGTGGAGGAGGCTGGCGATTGAAGTAAAGTCCTTGACAAACCGGCGGTAGTAGAACGCCAACCCCAGGAATCTGGGTAACTCCCGAACATTAGCTGGGGGGGTGGGGGTGGGGGGATCTGTCGCAACTCCATGAGCACTGACCACATGGTCCAGGAATGCAGTCTTCCTCTGCAGCAGGTGACACTTGGCAGGGTTCATCCGTAATCTGGCTCATCTGATGGTGTCAAAGACCTCCTGGAGATGGGTCAGTGTCATGATTCTAAGAGACTCTGGAGCGAACACACCCGGACACAGGAGAAAGTTTAACAGTTTTATTGAAAAGTTCAGCGGGTTCTCAAAATGGTGGAGGAACTCTGGACGGGTTTGCAGAGGCGGTTCTGAAGGGGAAAACAGATGGTGAGTCGAGGAGCAAGGAGACTGTTCTGATAAAAGAATTGAAGGGGGTGAGCTTACTGGTCTGCGTGGCGAGGAGTGTTTGGAGAGGAGGTGAGGTCCAGTGTGGGAGTGTGGCAGGCTGAGGTTGAGATTTTGCTGGAGGCTCGAGGGTGGACAGGCAGGTGGAGAAGAGGAGGATCCAACAGGGCGTGGATGAAAAGGCTGAAGCACAGCAGCCAGGAGGAGCACTGGGTGAAGCAGACACCACGGTTCAGGGAAGACGCTGGGAGATCCTGGGAACTCAGAAGGTCGGGACGACTGCGAGACAAAACATTACTTGTGAGAGAAACACTGGGAAGTGCAAGGAAACACAGAGCTGACCTGATTACCAAGCTGTGTGGCTTAATCATCTGGCATCTGCTTTCCTCCTCCGGCCAGCTTTAAGTGCTCCACCTTAATTGCCTCTGATCAATGGCACCTGGTGCGGCCTGCCTGTCAAACCTGAGGAGAAGAGGTGAGGAACCACACACACACACACACACACACACACACACACACACAGAACCTCACAGTACCCCCCCCCCCTCAACGGACGCCACCCGGCGGCCGACCCCGAGAGGTCGAGGCAACAGACCGCTCAAAATCACGGATGAGGGACGGATCCAGGATAGCAGAACGAGGAACCCAGGAGCGTTCCTCAGGACCATAACCCAGCCAGTCGACCAAGTATTGGCGACCACGTCCCCGAGGTCGGACGTCCAGGATCCGGGACACAGAGAAGGCGGGATGGCCATCAACAACCCGGGCGGGCGGAGGGGGATCGGCAGGAGGGAACAGGGGGCTCGAGGATACCGGTCTGATCTGGGAAACATGAAAAACTGGGTGAACACGAAGGTGGCTAGGGAGTCTCAGACGGACAGCTGAAGGACTGATGATAGCAGCAATAGGGAAAGGGCCCAGAAACCGGGGAGACAATTTCCTGGGAGCGCCCTTGAGCGGGAAATGCTGGGATGACAACCAGACCTCCTGCCCAACGGAGTATGCGGGGGCTGAAATGCGACGCCGGTCAGCATACCTCTTGTTTTGGGCTGAGGTGCGCTGCAGGGCGGACCGAGTATGGTTCCAAACTCGTTTGCAGGCCATCATGTGAGAACGGACAGAGGGAGTGATGGAATCGGGGAAGGTGCCAGGAAGGAGAGGTGGTTGATACCCGAGTGAGGCCTCAAATGGAGACAGACCTGAGGCGGCAGAGACGTGAGTATTGTGAGAGTACTCAACCCAAGGAAGGTGGAGGCTCCATGATGTAGGGTTATCGGCACAGAGGCAACGGAGGGTGTCCTCGACTTCCTGGTTGAGCCTCTCACATTGGCCGTTCGTCTGGGGATGAAAGCCAGAAGACAAACAGGGTTCAGCCCCAATGGAGCGACAGAAGTCCTTCCACACTTTGGCGATGAATTGGGGTCCGCGGTCTGAAAGGATCTCAGATGGGATGCCATGTAGTCGGACCACGTGGAGAAACAAAAGTCGAGCGGTAGTAGCAGCTGAGGGTAGTTTGGACAGCGGGACCAGGTGACATGCCTTAGAAAAACGATCTACTATAGTGAGGACGACTGACTTGCCTTTGGAGATGGGGAGACCTGTTACAAAATCCAGCGCGATGTGGGACCATGGTCTGGCTGGAACTGGAAGAGGCTGCAGGAGCCCAGCAGGTGGACGGTGAGAGTTCTTACTACGAATGCAAGTAGTGCAGGC